TTTGTTTGTTTTTCCAAAATTCCAGCCTGGAGAAAACTGAAAAAAAAAAACCCAATAATTCTTGATTTCATAAAAGATGAGGAGTAAGAAGTCAGGGATGGAGTAACAGCCCCTTGTTTCCTCTCTCATCTCTTCGTCCAAGAATGGCTCCAGCATTCCAGGAGACGTAAAGCACAGCAGCTGGATATTAATGGAACTTGGCATCACAATGATTTTGGGCTTTTTTTTAATTAATGCCGTACCGTATTACAACAAGGAAACATTTTCTCCTCTTTTATTAACATCCCAACCCCAAGCCAAGTATTAAATAAGACTTAATTTAATTAGTTCTTGCATTCTCCCCTCTTGCAGGATTATTCAGTAACACAAAGTCCTTACCGAGCTCCCTTTCCTGCAGTCAGATAAAAATCCTGCTGATGGCAGTGGGAATGTTCAGGCTCCTCATTTACATGCACGCTGTGGTGCCATGAGACAAGAGACGTTTCCACCCCGGCTCACCTTGGCTGTGCCATGCTCTCCATGGCAGCTGCTCCCCACGATCCTCTCACCCCCAGGTCCCTCCTGGGACACCCAAACCTGCAGCCAAGGGCTCGGGGTTCACAGAGCAGTGAGCACTGCTGGCACCATTCCCGTCCCTTTTCTCACCTTTTGACACCAGACAAGGTGAGCTGCTTGTCCTTACCTTTGCACTGAAGGGAAAGGGGAGGTGGAGCTCCATCCTCCACCACTCTGAAGCTGGTGGACCCAGTGAGGGATGGGGCAATTAGCCTTGCAGACAGCTATGGGCATGCATCCTGCTCCTGTCCCGTCCTGTATGGTGGCACAATGAAATAGGTGGTCCCACCCGCAGGTGACACCGTGGCTACCTGTGTGGTGGCCATGGCAGCCATAGCAAATGGAGTTAGAGCAGGCTGGTGGCAGCTGACAGGCGGGTTCCACGCTAGGGCCAGTTCTCTGCAAGGTTTTCATTGATGGATTAGAGATGGGATGTGAACACATACTAAATTTGCAGACAACACTCCATTGGGAGGAGCTTATAGTTTCCAGGAGGGAGATCATAACGAATCAAAGGGCAGGGCCACCACCAGCTGCATGAAGTTTAATGAGAGCAAGTGCTGGATTCTGCACCTGTGAAGGGGCAACCCTGGCTGTATGGACAGATGGGGGAATGAGAGGCTTCCCTGCAGAAAGGGTTCTGGCTGGCTGCACGTTCAATCTGATCCAGCAGTGTGCCTGGAGCCAAAAGGGCCAACTGTACCCTGGGGGACACCAGGCCCAGAGCTGGCAACAGGTGAGGGGAAGGATTGTCCACTGTGCTCTGTGCTGTGCAGTCTCACCTCCAGTATGGGGTGAGGGTTGGGTGCCACAGTGTCAGAGGGACATAAGCTCCAGCTGCTTTACCTGACACAGCGACTAACCCGTTATTCCCAATCCGCACAGATGTGACACATGGCTTCTCCTTGCCAGGAGAGGAGATGGGGGGAAGAACTTTGCTCCTGTCTTTACTGAACCCAATCTCATTTGTGTTGGATTAAAATCACCTCACTGCCTAAGAAAAGCCAAATCTGAATCTTTCTGCCACAGCACTCACAGCCCTGCTGCTGCTGCAGGGCAACACACGTCCTTCCCATCACAGGAGCCCAGGGAAGTGCTGGGGACAGGCCAGGCTCGAGAAGCTGTCACTGTTTTTGCTTTGTAGGGGCACCTTATCTTGTGGAGGCAGCAGGAGATGGATGACCTGGAGAAGTCAGCAAGCAAGAGGGAAGGAGGAGGAGGGGATGTGGGCGAAGATGTAGGTGGTGCCACATCTCACGCTTCTGCTGGAGCCGGGAAGGGATGTGGAGCGCCCGCTTCCCAGTCCTACGCGCTCACTGGGACCATCTGTCCTCCCCCAGGAAGCAGCCCTGGGTCAGGAGAGAGGTCCTGTGGGGGGGGGCAGGCAGTGCTGGAGAGCATGAGCCTTCCTGTGCTCCCCTGAACGGGTTTCAGCAGCCTGCAAGGAGCAGGTTTCACAGCTGTTTAAGAAATAGGGACCTTAACATGAAGAGATGGATGGCTGTGCCCAAATTCAAGTGAGGGCCCGGTGAGCAAAGCATCTCTCAAGTGCCCAGAAGTGCCTCAGTTGCTCAGCCAGGCACAGCAAGCAGCAATCCAACCAGCTGCTTCAGACATGGTGAAGGGCCTGCAATGTAAGCTGGCCTTCTGCACACCCATGTTTCTGCCTGCGAGCTGTGGATGCCAGGCGGACCCATACACGCCTGGTCTGCTTTCCATGCCATGCACCCACGGCTCCTCGTTCACCCCATGGAAGGTTTCTGCCCGTGCATCAGCACGGAGAACAAAGCAAGGGCTGTTTCGCCGCAGGATTTAACCACCTGTTGTAATAGTCGTGTTGATCTAATCTTTTTGGTTTAATTAAAAGCCTCTCACTCAGGTTGCAGGGCTTTTTCCCTCCGCGCAGGATCACCACCTGTTTCACAGGCTCCAATGGCTCTGCCACGGAGGTGAGGACAGAGCTCTCCGAGTTCCCCAGACACACGCAAACGGCTGGAAAGCATTCAACGCAGGGCTGAGTGCCTACAGAAAAGCCAAAGCCTGGTTGTGCCAGCAGAGCTGTGGCAGGCGCTGCTGCTCCCACGGAGCACCGAGCGGGCTCGCTCCCAAGCTCCCTGCGAAGCACAGCGTTTGTGAGTGGCAGCAGCAGGAAGGGCCATCTCGCCCGGGATCCTGTGGGCGTTTCACACGGCCCCGTTTAAGCAGTCAAGCACCAATTTGCAAAGCGCAAGCTCCCAATAGCAGGCGATGAGTCATGACAGGGTTTCAGAATGCGTAAATGAGCTCACAGCGTGCTCCTGTGTCACCGCCGGCTCGCCTTGTGCTCACCGGGCTGCGGGGCCACACAAGAACCTCGGAAATCCCACAGAAACGCAGTCGTGTTTCTGCTGCGGCACGCAAAGAGTTAAACGGGTTTCTTCCCATGCTGGGTTTCACCAGGCACTTCTGTGCAGCTGTACAAAACCCAGCGCCGCTACATTTCACACCGCCCGTCGGCGAGCAAATAATAAGCAAGCATGTGATTTTTGGCCACACTGGCTTTTCCAAGGTGATTAAATAATTTTCTAAATAGCTCTGAGAATGAAGCTGTCTGAAATCCCCGGGGCATGAAGAAACGAACTGCGTACGCACACATTGAAACAGCGCAGTCAGGATTCAAATTTACCAAGCAGCAACATAACATTGCTAAGAGAGCAAACACCACTGACAGGAGCTGCTGCTGTCTGGACGCACAGGAGGCCCACAGGATGCAGGTGGAGCAGCCCTTCCTGGAGCTATCTTTGGGACCTGGAGACCCCCACCGCCCGTCTGCAGGGCCAGGCGAGGTGAGAGTAGAGCCACTGGGCGCTGGAAGCCATCCCTCCCCATCAGCTCAAGGAAATGTGCGCTTCGTGTTCTGCTCCTTCTCTGCCCACAGAGTTCTTGCTCGTGGTGGTGCGTAGGTGTATGTGAGGGATTTATCCTTTCCCCACTGAATCACGGCAGCACAACATCTTTTCAACCCTTCTGTACAAGCAGAAAAGAGCCCTGCGTTATTTCTCCTCGGTTGCTAGCTGAAGGAGGCACCCAGCAGCCCCCCGACAATGGGCTGCACCCAGCTGGGTGCCAGCACACACTGCCTGGCCCCACAGCCCCCCACGGGGGCAGGGACACCCCTGAGCAGTCTTTCCTGCTCCACAGCCAACCCTCAGCTTTGTGCACACACCCAGTCCCTATTTCAAAAATTAAACCAATTCTGCAGCTGTTGCTATGGGCAAAGCCATTGTCAGCAGTGGCTGCTTTCCCTTCAGACCCTCATATAAAAGTAAGCAAGTTTAGCAATGACATGGTGAGCTTTTTGGTTCTGTGAGGAACAGGAGCATCCTGAAGTGAAGCCCTGCTGTGTGAGAACTGCTCAGCCTGACAGCTTCCAGCTGAGCTTCATGGACACCCAGCAAGATGCTGAATCCAGTGGGGCCAGCCCGAGTTGACACAGGATGCTCATCCCATGTATCCACGTAGCTCTTGAGCTTCAGCCATCAATCTGCCCAGAGCAAGTAAAAAAAAAACACACCAACTAATAATCTCTAATAATCTAAGTGTTTGTGTGGTGATGTTTATGTGCAGTCTGGCATATTACCAGTAACTGCCTCGTGGCACATTCTGTCCCTCAGTGGTACACTTCAGAAAATAGCGCACAGCTCATTGCTTCTTCCATGCCTTCTTCGAGCACAGGGCACGATCACACTCCAAGTGCAGGGGAAAAAAAACGGCAAACGTTGAACTATTTGCTCAGATTTCCCACATCTGAGATCTCCCTTGGGTGGGGAGAAGGTGTGAGGATTGAACCCACCAGGCTGAGTGCTTCTCTCTGCTTCAGACTTGCACGCCTCCTCTGCAACTTGGATGGTTTGTTTCCTCCTTTCTCTTTGCACTTCCGCTCCCCGGTTTCTCTCCCCTTTCCCTATCCCATTTCCCACACAATTTCTGTTCTCCAACTCTGTCGCTTCATTCTACCAAGACGTGGGATGCTGTTTAGAAACTGAGCTGAACCAAGGGAGCAGTACAACTGCTGGAGTCAGCCATAGGGCTGGGCACTGCCATTTTGTCTCCTGACTTCCAAAAGACAGGTCATCACTGCCTCCCATCATCTGACTGCCCTGCTTTGGTCACATCCTTGAGCAAACAAATAAGGACACCAGCAAACAAGGGAGCAGTATAATAATGCAGGCCTGCCGGGCTGCAGCCCCTTGCTGGATTTCATTTCCTCATTTGCCTTGCCCACACCTAGCAAGGCCACCCGCCCATAGCGGCAGATTCAACCACAGGAGCAGGAAAAGCCTTTGGCCAGCAAGCTGCAGTTCAAAATACTCCCTCCTCTCCCATCCCAAGCCAATTACCTCCCAGTAGAGAAAACAATGGGGGAAAAAAAAAAAGAAAGAAAAAACAACCCTGGGGAAACTGAAGAGTTCTCACGGTGAATTTTATTTTGTAGCAACAATATAAACATGTGAATAAGAACAGGCATCATTTGCAGGGCTGGCCTCTGATCCAGAGTACCCTGAATCCAGCAACCTGCCCAGAGCAGATGCGGGTGAACCTTCCCCCTGACTCCACTGAACAGCCAAGTTGCAGTCCACCAAGATCTTTGTCATGGAAAGACCAACGCTTGAATATCTGCTATTACCAAACTTATGTGCAATTGTGGAATGTATTAAACCCCCCCACCCTCCTCCCCATCTCCACTCTCAGGGTTTAAAAAACAAAACAAAACAAAAAAGGTAGAGCTGCAAACCAGTAAAAAAATTGCTTCCAGCTTGCTGAGACTGAAATGGCCTGTTGGACTTCTAAACTGAAATATCGTTCTAGAGATAACCAAGGGGTTGTGACACAGAGTACTGTATTTACAACTCAAAAATATAACTGTTATGTTCTTTAATTTATAGCAAATTTAATACATTAGTGTTTACAAAATAAGTTCTGGACTCAACTGAAACAGCGTGCTGCTGCTCTTCCTCCTTCCTCTCACTCCAACTGAAAAGACCAGCAAGCTTAAGAGCTTCTTCTGTGATCCACACACAACAGTTGAGATGTTGACAAAAAGAGCATTTCCTGAATCTCTCAAGGCTTGCTGCTCTATTACTCAAGCTGTATAGTTCAAACCTTAAGCTGTCCTTTAGCAAGTTCCATATATTCTTATGAAAACTACTCAGCTACTAACCAGTGCACTGGCTAACGTTACAAGCCAAAGAATTATCCATACTACTAGCTCACACAACAGGAAAGAGGAAATATAACTACACATTCAATCTCTTATTTCTAACAGCAAAGCTGCAAACGCCATCACTTGAAGTAAGATACTTCAGGAAGTGAAACAGTACCATACAGTTCAAGAAACAATTAAAAAAAAAACCATTTTAATAGTATAAAAAGTTGTTTACCGGTGTTTCTACTATAAAGCTTTGTTCCACAAATCAAAAGTGATAAAATAATTAGGTATGTTTACAGTGATAAGAGACTGCAGTGTAGACATTTCAGCTCACATTTCGCTGAGCACTTGGGCACGATGGACTGTGACTGAATTAATACACAGCTACGACACAGAGCCAACTGCAGACATGAAATACACACCTGAACGTGGAAATCTACCCACTGCACGGTAACTTATGTCTTTTAACCCTCCTTCACTCCTCCAGAAAACGCTGTAGGAAAAAACTGCATTCAGAAACTAAGGCATGTCACTATTCTGACTGCAGGAAAGCAATCCTTAACGCGGGAGGTGCACAGAGGAAAGATGGATGCACACAAACGCAGCATGGGAAACTCCAACGTTTTAAGCCCATTATTTGTCCTTAGATAAAATGACATCTGCAAAAGTGAAAATGTACAAAAAAAAATAAAAACTGTCAAATAAATAAAGAATACGGATGTTACTTCAACACACACATAAAGAAAAGTATTGGCATACTGTATGCAGTATACGGTGTATTCATAGAATCACGTGGGCTGGACAACACTTGATAAGGAGTCACATTCTGAAGACGTCGTCCCTCATCTCTCTCCTCCAAAAGATCTTACTGCATATCAGGAGCAACTTCAGCAATTGCACTGAAACTGACTGATAAACTGAAGGTATATCCAACGGTTACATTTTTCACATCAAATTGGGAACCTCTAATATGGACTCTTCCATATTTTAATTGGCATGTTCTACACTCCTGAACTGTAGATAGGTAGTCTACTGTAAATGCACTATACAAAGGCTGCTGAAACCATTAAAAGTGATGTAACAATAGTAAGTGTCAAGAACATCTGCTATGATACAGAACTGGGCTCTAGGTCTACCGAACGCTATATCCACATAACATTTTAAACCAGAAGATATTTTTTCCATCTTCCTTTTTTCCTACAAACACTGTTGCAAACTTGCTGTTTACTGTGTCACGATGTTCACGTTCCTACTTCTCCAAGGATTTGTAATTCTAATGTTTAACAACCAGGTCTATGCTAGGTACACTTAAAGTAGACACTGAAATTTCAAGTAAAATGAACTGTAGCCACATCTACTAGACTCTATACATGTCCCAACATCTAGATTTACTTTGATAAGTTATACAAATACATAATACATTCTTAAATAATGTAGACCCACAATATTAATTTGTGAATCTTTCCACGTTATAAAACCACTTTAACAGGAATGTTTATCCACCTGTATTACTGTTTAGTTTGCAGTGTCTTTTGCTTTTCTGTTTCCACAGATTACTGGACCAGTTCTTATGCTTTGGCTATTGAAATCTCTTATTTGAATGAGGCAACACTGGTTATTAAGGCTGTTTTTCCTTCTCTCGTGAAGTTTCATTCCTTATTATGACACTGGTTTCCAGAACAGGATGACTATCTTGTGTCCTCAGGTTCTGTTTTGATGACCTTCCTTTCAATGTTGTTAAAAGCTGAGTGAGGAAAATCCTTTAAGATACCAAGGCCTTCTGCATTTAAAAAAAGAAAAGAAAGAGATGTTAAAAACACTGCTTGGGAACAAATATATTCTGTTCTTACTTCAAGGAAAAAAAAAAAAAAGGGTCCACTAAGTGTACATACACTGTGAGTTGAATAAATGGATAAACTCTTGGCCTTCCTACTGGGCTTTAACCTATCTGGGTTACAACCTCATTTACATTATGGCAATGAGAGTCATCCCCACAGATCTAATTCCATTCTCCCTAGGAACAGGACTTAGTGGAGATGTACGCTGCACTAGAAATTTGAAAGGCAAATTTCACCTGGTGATTGAGACAGTCAAATTGCAAAAATAAATAAAAGCAACTGAGCTCTCAGCACTCCGAAATGAGATATGCAAGATTCTTCTTCTCTTTCAATAACCTCTTTCCCACTGCACTTGCCAAACTCAGATGAGATTTTATTATTGTTCCTAAAGCTGTAAGAATCTCAAGAATCCCTGGCTTTATCTTAAGAGCCAACTGTGAAACTGAAACCACCCATGCACGAAGGATTCTTGCTGTCTTGTGTGAAACTTAAGAGTTTCTCCCACAGCCAAAGGGAAACAACAAGATAAACTTGAGTAGAAGTTAGTGAATGGGACACAGTTCAAAGCACACATAGCATGATACAGAGTACAGAAAGAGCACCAGGCAGGACAGAAAGTCTTTTTATGAAAACTGCATTTACAGTTTGATTCCTTTATACAGGCCGAAGCCCTATTACAATCAATGAGAGATTGCAGAGTAAGTACTTAACAGCAGAACTTTGGGTCAATGCCTCCCTCAGGACAGACACATGCCAGAACTTGTTTATCTTAATCTAGCTATTGCATCTTCTAAGTTTATCCCAAATAACAGGAAATCTGTTTCTAGATTAAGAAGTAACACCACTCCTGAAGCTCTGTCTGAAGCCTTGGTTGAGAAGTTACATGCGAGGACACTGAGCTGCCTTCTTCATCCAAGAGACAGCTCACATTGAATGGTTCATCAAAGGTTCTGTAAGAAACAGTGGTTAAATTACAAGGGACAGCACTAACCTGAGGACTGGGACTTAGCCTCACCACCAGGGTAAAGCCGGATCAATTCACTGCACAGAGGTTTTCCAACGTGCTGCTCTCCATCAAGTGCAATGTGCTGCAACTGTCTACTGGGAAGATTTGACATCCGGAGATTCAGCGGCCTTTCACCTGGAAGCGGTTCACAGTGAAATATGGATGCATTAACAAGAAAGCAATAACAAAAAACAAAAATCAAAACAGACTAATTTGGTCAGGAATCCCAAATTTTGGCTGCTGGGAGGCTTTCTAGCAGAACAACTGTTACACGAATATGCTGGTGTGCAGACTACTCCACAGGCAGTGGATACTTCTATATCCATGCAAGTATCTCTCATTCTGCCCAAGAAGCCCGCTGACATCCCATAAATTCCCAGTGCCACTGCGCAGTGGATAAATGGTATAAAGCAACACACAACATCAAGAAGAGCTGGTTGCACACACCTACTCTTTCTGTGCAGTTGTATACGGCACTGCATCATCAACACACACCAATGGAAATTGATGTTTCAATGCTTACTGCTTTCATTCCCTTAGTTCCTCCCTCTACTGCTTCTTTAAAAAAAAAAAATAATCTAGCTTTAAAAAAAAAAACAAACAAATAAGCAAAAAATCATCTGCTTGCATTTCTTGTCCATACTTTACATTTTCTCCCATTTCACAGCACCCAAACAGAAATCTAAACAGAAACCGGTCAAACAAACTAAACATTCCTAAGATTAATGCAGGCTGGCAAACGGCCAGTTGGTAAATCAAACAGATCACCACAAAACTATAACCTTCTGAAGAACAAGCTACTACAAACATTATAAGAATCTGCTTGCTTCTAAGGAATTTACATAGTAATTTACATAGCCAGCTACTCAAGTTTTGTTCCTAGACTGCACAGGTAAGTTAAAAAAAAAAAAAAAAAAAAAGGGGGGGAGGTGGGGGGGAAATGGATGGTACCAACTCCATTATCAGCTTTACCTTCCATCTCCACAAAGGAAGAGAACAAATGAAATGCAACAGCCTGAACACGCTGCTCTATTTTCAAAGCTTAGGATAAAAGTAGAGACAAGCACTGCCCTCACTAACAGTAATTCTCCCTACCTTCTTCCCTCCCTGAACGTTAGCTGTAGGGAAAGCAGTTTGCCCAGCTGCATGACAGTAACAGAGCAGAATCTGGCTGTACACCTCAGTGTGTTATTTACACTGTAAGCACCTTAGGGCAGAGATCTTGTCTTGTCCATTCAGTGCTCAGTGCTCTGTTTGTGCTATTTTAGATAAATAACACCACTGACAAAGATTGTGTAACTTCAGATGCATTTGCTGACAGCAACACCGTGCCTGGAAGCTACTATACCTTGTCCATCAACATTATCTAATGACATGCCATTGGGGCTGTGCTCTTCTGAGTTTTGCCTGTAACACCCTGTGGAAAGACGTCTCTCTAATCCAGCCTGGTTGCAGAGAAACTCCATCTGTTTTGCCATCACCTTTTCAGACTGCAAATAAAGCATACATACATCTTTTGAGTCAAAACATGGAAAAAACAATATCAGATGATAAGACTAGCAGCCTAGATGTAGATTTTTGTTGACTCATATGTACAGATGTGTGCTTTACAGTTTCTTCAAATCTATCAAGTAAACAAAGTATTTTTGCACCCATAAAAATTTTCATACTGTACAAGTGAGTCACTCAGGAATGCTTAAAACCCGAGTTGCAGTAGTTCATCCATGCAAAAATGCAACACTAAATTCTGTTCTTAGAAAACACATTGAAAACACACTTTCTGTGCTTTAGAGCTGTGAGTTACGTGAAGAGAATCTCAAGAGAAGTGAAAAATAATGTCTTAGCTCTGCTCAAATACATGTATTCACAAAGTACTCCAAGAGCGATGGCAACATCTGCTAAAAACTTATGCCAAGATTTCACCAGACATCTTGGAATCTTTATTTTAGGAAACAGCACTATACGAGCATAAAAATCTGCCATTCTGAAAGTGTAGGATGACAGTATGTTTGTGGGGGATAAAGGTGCGAAATGTCTGTCTAGAAGAAGAACAAGACCTATACACCTCTCGAGAGTGAAATTAAACAATGCAGCGCAACGTGGGAGGAAATGGCGTCTGAATGTTTGTCATTGAATCCAACGCCAAGAAAATTCTAGCTTCCAGTTTGATCTTGTTCTTAAGAATGTAAATAAGCATTTTGCAGGAAAAAAAAACAAGAAAAAAAAATCACAAGTCAATAATGTTTGTTTAGAAGAGCCGTCATGAACATGAGAACACTAAGCATATCAAATCAACCCCAAGGATCAATAGGAGAAATTTCATTTCTATTCCTGGTTAACCTACTGTAATCCTACTGTTTCAACTCGTACAGATGCCCACTAAGAAGAAGTGATGTCATCTTTCAGAGTACCCAGCTTTTCCTGGTAGATGACCAAAGTCGTGCCTTCCCACGCTCTTCTTCTGCTCAGTTCAACACTTAAATGTGATGACAACCTAACAGAGCAGAAAAAGCAGAGCTTCTCCAGCACAGCCATGACCCTGACAGGAGGGTAACAACACCAGTGATAACTTACCCTGCTTAGAGGTCATCAGGTTCTGCAGAAGAACGCTGACAGCCCAAGCTTGGTATTGGGAAGTAAGTTAAAAAGGAAACAATTTTCACATGGTTTAATTCCAACTGTGCTTTAATTTTGCTACTCTGTCAGTCCTGTTACTACTTTCGAACTGAAAAGCTATTTTTAAAAGAGTAAAATATTTAACATTTGATTTCTGTAATCTTTGATGTTTAACTGCAACAGAAAGAACAGAACTGCAGTAATTGTTGTGGTCACCATGGAAAAATACCACAGAAGCTGAAGGTCCACCTGAGTTTAAAACACATCTCAATTCAAGCAGTGACCAATGACCAAAAGCACATAAAACCAAGTTCGTTTAATCATTATGTGACATCAGAAATGTAGCACAGCTGCTTTTTGATGCAGTAAAATGAACAGAATTTTCATGACTGGATACTGCTTTGCAATAGAAGAATGCATGAGCCAGGGTAACATATCTAGTCTCAGAAAACAGAAGAGTTGATCCCAAACAAAATCTTACACGAAAATTCCATGATTACATTTGCCTTCAAGGCTGGGATACACTACAGAAAAGAGAAAGAACTGGAAACCTGTCTTCACCTATTAAATGCCTTCTGAAACGTGAAAATGCTGGACTCCTACCAAGCTGGATGTTATTGAGAAAGGCAACGTATCCTTTTAGATCCAGAGGTTCTCTATTTCCTAAGTCTAATGGACTTTTCTTTTAAAAAGAAATGTCAGAACCAAGGATTCCAAGATCTCCTACTCTATTTATTCTCTAAATGCAACAAGTTTCCATTTACAGTGAATAATTCAAGTACACGGCACAAACTGTACCAATAGTACCCAACAGGCCACTTCATTTCCTCCAGCTCTCTAAGCTACATTCTGCCTTCTCAGAGCAAACAAGGTTAAAGGTGGAACACTGTCAGAAGAGTTTCAGAAGCTAATTACAAATTAAGAGTGACACAATCATAGATACGCTAGGTAGCCTTTGAAAATTGAAGCTAATTCCTTTAGTCATCGAACCAATATGTCAAAATCAATGTACAAAGACCTGGTCTACCTCATTCACAGTGTAGGGCTGTTGGTTTACCTGGGAATTCAGAGCTGCCGAATCCTCACTCTTTCCCTTAGCCAAAGCAAGCGGCATTTTGTCTGGCTGATAGAGCGTCTGGACTGCGTCCTGGAAGTCAGGATAACCATCCTATTGAGCACAAGAAGAAACCAAACACCAAGAGAAAGGCATGATTAATTTTTCCCACACCCCTTCTCTCTGCATACTCAAAGGAACACCGCAACCCAACCCAAACTGATCGCTCTGGAGTTCAGATGTCTGTGCTAACCACAACATTTAACTTTGTCTCTACAATGCACACAGTCTCTCTACAGTACCCACTGTACATCCAACGTCCCATACACAGACAACCTTATTTCTCACAGTTTCAGGTGAATTCACACTATTGTTGTCACTGACGTAAACTAGCTTTGCCAGGTAGTTTCAGGCCCATCTTTACATACAGCAGCTTTGGAGATTAAGAAATTAAATATACATGTAAGTCAAAGACCAGGGCACAGCAGATGGCTATACTAACCTTGAGAAACTGAGTGAAACCTCACAAAACTCAACATACCACACGTAGAAACCATACTATTGTAACCAAATGAAACACGCTGCAAAGATTTTAGGTACTTGGGAAACCAGGATTCAAGAATTCTTTCAGCCTCAAACGGTTATGACATGCAAATCTCTCTTGCAGCTTGCATATGTACAAATAAAGCAAATAAAGTTTGTGTGAAAGCCTGCCAGACTTCATTACAATACATAAATCATCCGAGCAATGGTTCAAGATGAAAAACTTATCCTGCTTGGCACCGAAGACCATGTAAAGCAGATGAACATCCATAAACATCTACAAAGGCAGAGTAGAGGTGACTTAAGATCTGAGAAAATACTAAAGAACTTAAAATAGACTCAAACCTGAAAACAGTGACATTTGTAACTGAGTATTCAAGTACCATGAGTAGTACAGTTATCGTAACTATCATTTCGGCTTTTGGAGGCAAGCGTATGCAAGCAAAAACATTTTTGACAATGGCCAAACAAATACGTTACCATCCAAGAAAGCTGAACTGAGGCCTTCCAGAAAAATCACAGGAAAGACTACAAGGTCTGTGCAAACTGGGGGCTGCACACCAACCTGAACAGCTGTGGCCAAAACCCTGAGTGCAGCATAATGCCAATAAATTATTCCTTATGCTTCAGGAGAAAAAAAAGTAACGTGTGAATCATTGCATAAGGCTTTTATCCACCCAACATACTCCCTTGGGGAAAAATAAACACGATAAGTATGTAAAATTTCATAACCAGGTAAACTGCCACAAAGCAGCTCATCCTCTAGAAACAAAGACTTTGCAGTGCATTTCCATGAGCGCTGACCATTTTCATACAGTCAGACCTGAATTTGTTTGGGAAAAAATCACTGTGTGTAGGAAGATGAAAAGCAAACACACAAGAACGTATCGCCGAGGATCCTATTTTAGTAACCAATCAGGAACACGTTCTTCACCATCTATCTGTGGTCACAGCCCATATAACAGCAAAGGCTGTTTCCTACAAGCAGGCCTCCCCGCATGCTGCTGCGACCGTCACCCATCACTCCTGCCTATGGTTCTTGGATGGCAATGCAAGAGTGGAGCGGCACCCTGCAGGCCTTCCCTGCTGCTGGCTGCTCCCACTCGCAGTGCAGTGTTGCTGAGGGCTGCTTTGCACCACGTCTGCCTCGCCGCTCCCTTCCCTCCTCACGCCAGAGGAGCCCGCTTCGTGCAGCACCGCAGTTCTGTTTTGCTGCGCCGCTGCTCAGTTGTTTTTCAAGAGGCTTCTTGCAGCAGATGTTCCCAGTCCCACATGTGCTTTTTGCTCTCTCTAATGACATTTTTTTCCTATGCAAACAGTAGACTCTACTGCTTCTGCCATTTTCGAGAAAAACAGCCAAATCCCACACTTACGCTGATTTGCTTTTCAACTGTCTCAGCAACGATGGGAGGTGGGCCTTTTCTCTCTCTCCCCCTTCATCCATACTGGCACCAGGGGAAGACATTTCCTCACAGCCTCCACTTCTCCCTTCCTTCCTGCATCCCCCCCAGAGCACTGTGAAATCAGCTTTTGCAAGCCTTCCCCACCCATCTCCTTCAGCTGAACGGAAACGCTGGCACGGAACAGTTCCTTTCTGCCACAAGCTCAGGGACAAAAAGGCCACGTTTGGTACTCTGCCTCTCTCCTTTCTTAGCTGTCGGTGGTGTATCTGAGAGCAGAACCCCATCAATCCCAACAAAGAGCAGCACGATGCTGAGCAGCCCTTCCCTCTGAGCCCACTGCGTGATACACCTGTGACTTATTTTGCCTTTGAAGTGCTGCCCCAGCAGCTCATCGCTTTGAGTGCTGTTAGTACTGAGTCACGGAAGATGACAAATTAAGGGGTGCCCCTGCCCCACAACACCTATGTGGATGAGCTAGAAGAGGTAGCACCGCTTCCGCCCCCATGCATCTATTCTGCCTTCTCTATGAAGCAGACTTAGGAAATGCAACTCCTTTTTATTTTTCTCTTGTAATAACAACTGGTTCTAAAGCCCAATTCATTCCACTCCTTTTTTCACTCCCTCTGCACCTTTAGTCTCTCATTTGCCTGGAATTTTTTTCCCCCCTTCTCCTCTGTACACTTCACTCCCACAGCTTGCCCACCCACTCTGTGAATAAGAGGGGGAGAGCACACAGGGGAAGAGAAAGGCTTTTACAGGTAATTTGATGTAATTCATGGCATATTGTTTCTTTGTAATGCTTATGTGAGTTTCATATTCATAAAGAGGATAAATGTACATCGGCGGCTGTAACCCAGCAATGTTTAAGCTTGCACACACAGCTCCGCTGGCACACGTGTGACCTTCAGAGTTTTTTAGGGTTGGTTTTTTTTTCTTTTGCATGTTGTTATATTTCAGGAAATTAACTCATCTTTACTAAGCGATCCATCGCAGTATGGAAAAAAGGGCGTGAAACCTTTCAAAATTCAGGCTCGTATTTTAGATTAGCTTTCCAGAGACACGAGTGACTAATGGGCAAAGGAATGGTGAATCAGAACACAGAGGGCAGCCTCGGAACAGAAGCACAGAATGACCTTCACAAAAAAAAAAAAAAAGGAAAAGAAAGCAAAGCCAGAGCTAGCAGTACCAAGTCACCTACATTCTGATCCACTGCATCCAAATATTAGCATGACAGCCAGCTAACTGAGCTACGGTCGTTCAGAAACAGGACAAAGATTATTCACCCAGAAAGGAAAAAACAGATTCACAGTGCTTACTGCCACTCTCATTTTACTGAAAACGTTATGATCTCCTTTCCAAAATGTAACCCCTAAGAGCCCAAGGTATCAGATCACTCAAATATGACCAGGAGGAGTGACCTCCTGAGTCATACTGCTTCTTCCCCTCCCAACAATGTTGAGAAATGCTACCTAGTACTCAGAGTCATAACAAACCACAATAACAATTGACTTTGGGGAGCCCAGCAGACTCCCCATGTACAGATAGAGGCATTTATGTTGATAACGACAGCTGGCATTTCACAGTTAATAACACTATCTTGTTATATGAAAATCCATTTCATTTAGCTTAATTTTCTATTTCTTATTTTGGAGACAATCATTTCTAAAGCAGTGATTTGCACAACTAAGACACCAAATTTGCATATGCATTTTAAAATATGACTGTCGATTGTAGATAAAAACAAAACCAAGTAAACATCCATCCTCAGAATTACCGAACTAAATAGTCCCTTGAGAAAGCAGAGCTGCCAGACCCATCATTCAAAAACTAAGAGAATGCAGATTCCCTAAGGTTGTCCCAGTCCTCCGTCTTGCCAGGTTTTTCACTGCTTTTTAATTTTACTTTTTCTTTCAATGAAGATCCCACAGAAAAAAAGCACCTCCCTTAGTGTGTCACTTCACTTACTTGCTCATCATCAATTATCACTGAATGAAGGAAAAGCTTTCTAATGCTGAAATCTAATTGTCTGTGAAGCACTATTTCAAGCAAAGGAGGAGCAACTCCCCACCAGCTCTTATGAATTAAGGCTAGGCTGGACAAAAGAGAAGGGAGAACCAAACAACCACCTTGCAACAAATCAGTCAAGGCTGGCAATAGAGTGAAGGCACATAAAATCACTTAATTAAGCTTCTCCCAGCTCTTTCCTATAGATTGAAGAGCAGGCAGAGGTCAAAGCACACCTCAACGCATCTAAATGGCATTACAGAATTATTATGAAAGCTACAAGTAAATTCTGAATGTGCATGTGTGCTTGGCTTTCTTTAAACTCAAACTACAACTGTACGCACGCTGGTGGAACTGAAACAGCAGTAACAAAAGAACACACCTATGTACCTATTCAGAACTGCCTTTTCAAAGCTAAGTGCTCCCACTGGGGTTTGCTGCACAGGGAAAGCCCTTGTACAGGTAACAAAGCTGAAAAAATGAGAGCCTTGTGTTTGGTGCATCATTTACCACAGATTGTGTTACACATTCCAGAATGCTATAAAGCTTCCCTCTGCAGTTAAAGAATATCACATATCTGCATGACATGCAATTCTAGCTCAGCCCCAGCTTACATTCTAATGTGCATTTATATCTGCACCTCTTGGAGCAGGCAGCACAATAAAAATCCCCATAACACCAGCAACAAATTAGAGACCCGTGTAAAAATTAAACAGCAATTTGTTTAAAAAATGAGAAAGGAAGATGTGCTCTTCTTACAGGTTACACAAGTACACATATTTACCATCGTGTGTTTATTTGTTTAAGTGACTTATTAAAAGCCCTCAGATTTACTTCCCAGCAGTGGCAACTTGACAAAAAGCAGAACACTCATTTCCCTAAGCAAAACCTTGTGCAACTGTATCTATCAGCCAGGGGTACACGTGCTTTAGGCCCAAAATTAATTGCAAAATCCAGTAAATTAACACTACAAGCAGAATCATGTACGTTGCTTTTAGCCAGCTTTTGATTTTTCAATAGCATCTCTCCTTTAGCTTATTGCACAGTCAGAGCTCACCAGTACTCCCCCATCGATCTGTACCCAGAACTCTGCATTCTGGACAAGATAAAAAAACAAAACCACTAAAAAACCCATCCCACCTAACACCGACATCTAAGCAAGAGGCTTTATAGGAAGACATTTCCTACAGCACTTGAGTTTGTTCCACCACAGAATATCATTTAGTCCCATTCCTCCTCCTTTTGCACATCGTGAGCACAAAACACTGAGAGCACCTTTACCACAAAGCAAATCCTGCTCTTTATCCCTGCTCCTACAGATTTCTCTAACAAGCATGTACATTTTCAGAGATTCCAGCAGAGGTTCTCACCCTCACTCTTAGACCCATCAAGTGTGTGCCAAATATTGTTCTGACAAAGCTCCTTCAACAGATCCCTTCAAAACACAGATACATTTTAGCACGCGTGGATTGAAATACAGGAGCCACAATACTGTACCTCTATTTTGATTCTCTTTGGTGACAGTTCATCCCTTTCTCCACATTTAGATCTAGAAGAGAAGACATTCGCTATTAGCAAACAGAAGATTAACCCTGATCACCAGAGATGATAATGAGAAACAGTCAAGGGAAAAAAAAGTAAGGCAAGGAGAAGTCGGATGCACAGAAAAGCATGCAATTCACTTGGACTCAGCATTAAAAGCCATTTGAGCACAGAGGAGAAGTATACAAGTGCCTTGTGTTGTTTTCAGAAGTGTCAGAAGACTCATGCACTCTCATTCTGAACAGAAAGGAAATCTGCCTGAGCACAGAGAATCACAGAAATGCCTTTTACTCTGACTACCCAGAATGGATTTGTATTTACATATAATCATCATGGAAGGAAGGAGATTAAAAAAAAACAAAAACCACAAAAAGCCTCCAGAAGTGTTATGAAAACATACGTGGAAAGGATATTGCAATAAAGGTCAGAGTAAAAATGTGAAAGCAATGCATAGAAAGTATCCGGAAGTAATAAATACGAAGGAAAGTTCATTTTTAATTGTAATCAGAAGCTATTAAGCATTTGCTGTTATTCCATAGCAGTTCACCTAACAGAACATTAACAACTGAAATTAGGACTCTGCTTCAGTTTTTTTTCAACCAAGTTCACAAGACACTCCCTACGATCTTATCTTTCTCATTCCCTGGAAACCAGCAAACTCAGTCTGCAATGTAAAAACAACCACCACCACCAAACCCAAAAAACGCAGCACATTAGGAAGCTTTTGGCTACTCTGCCTATTTACATTAACCCTGACATACTCAAATGCCTCCTATACTTGAAACGCTACCCTCTCAGATGCCTTTGCACCTGCACTACCACTGCCAAATCTGTGCACCAGAGAACAAATAAAAAGGTGACTCAAGACAGCTAAATCTGAGCAGTTGAAAAGCTTCAAGACTTATACAGCACTTTCCTACCTTACTTGGAAGAGCACTTTGCTAGCTAGAGAGCAAGAAGAAAGAGTCTCTTGTGCTTCAGAAGAAACGCTGTGAAACTGATTAAGTGAAGGTCTTTAGAATGAATTCAAGCCTTACTTGGTGGTCCTGTAAGTATACTTGTACGTAACTTCTCGAGAGATCTGCCGAGCTAGCGCGAAGAGTTCATCTCTCCTGGTCAGCAGCGCGTTATCTTTCACACACAGCTGAGCAGCTGCTTCGTTAACTGTTAGCTGGAAATCAAAGACAAAAACACATCTGTGATTCCAAACACTTTCACCCTCTACCTTTGTACCCTCTTTTGAAATACTGAAAGATTTCAACAGCAAGCAAGATCACTTATAGTGGTAAACTAAACCCCGGATGGTTTCTTCCATTTATCTATATCCTTAATACACAAAAGCTTCTGAGAAAAGATACAAAGTGCACTGAACGTTCTTTAAAGTAAAGCATTATTGAAATACCCTCGATGTGCTCTGCTTGTGCCTCAACCCAGAGTTAATTAAATCTCTGTGTAAGACAGGAGCTCTGAGCATTCACACTGGTTGGCTCCCAAAGCCTGGTTTACAGGGAGTACTATTTTTATAACCGCAATATGCCCCGGACTTGAAAAAAAATCTGACAGTGTGGGTACAGATGGCTTTCCCTGGTGAATACAGCATACATTCCGTAGAAGGTGATGGTTTAAGAAAGGATGAAACTTTTTTTTTAGCGATGCTTCTCACCCTGGTGTTTGTGAAGACTATCTTCAGACATGAATCAAACCTAACTAGTTTCAAGGATGTTTTCCCAAGCCTGCTGGGACACATTTCTAGTGGCTCTGCTGCTGGCAATAGTTTGATAAAGGAAAAAAAAAAAAAAAGCCTTAAGGCTCGAAATGGTTTCATAATGTACTTCAGATGCCCATAGAAAGCGGTGATACTGCCAGCAACTGTAACAGCTTAACAACATCGCTGTCTGAAAAGGCACGCCATCAACACCACGGACAAACAGCGTAATTATTGATGCCATGAGAAAAACCCACACTGGGATGCAGGAAAAAAAGATTCCTCCTGCTCCTTCCACAGCAAATGGGCTGATGAGACATTTTCACTTCTTCCTTAACTAAAGAACAGCCAGCAATCGTCACAAGGTGTAACAGCAAGAGGACAGCATAACAATACTGCAGGTACTTCTTGCAGAGGGCACACATATCTTTTATTTTTCAAAAGGAAGCTGCTCTGCACAGGCTTGGCTTCTCACAGGTGAGCTCAGACAGGCTGCTGCCACCAGCAATACATTCGGTGTTAGTCTCAGAGTAATAAACATTGAAAGTCAGCTAGGTTATTTCAAGCACACTGAGATACTCTTCACAGGCCAAACTGTGGCATCCCTGGTCCCTGCATGGCTGAGGTGGCAGTGCAGAGTGGCAGCAGGTCAGTGTGTAGGCTGACATGCTTGAAGGTGGGCACAAACACACAAGGGGCCTCAAATGCTAGGGGTCCTAATGCCAGGATGTGCTTTTTTACCTCGCTATCTATCCCACTGCAGAGCACTGCTCCTGAATTAAATGGGAGCTTAGCAGCTCACCCAAACCACTGCACCACCATCCCTGAAGGACAGAAGCTGTCACACGACACGAGGAGCACACCATCCTTAAGCAGAGCTCCTCATGTCAGCCAAAAGAGAAATTTTGTCTAATGCCACACTAGTTCACCAGGGAGGATGGAAAAAACATGCATCAGCAGAGCTGAGCCTCTCTCAGCAGCCAGCACGCAGTGAAACCTCACAAGGAACACAACTGTTCTTGATATTTCATAAGCATTTTTTCCTCTTCTTCAGCACAAAAGCCTCTGATCTGATTAAGATGTTTCCTGTGATACCTGAATGCTAAGCAGAGCACAAACACATCTTTAACAGGCCAGCTGGATACGTGACCCGAGCTTTCAGTCTCCGTGCAGACAATAAATGCCCCACAGAGATAGATGCACAAGGAAGCTGAAGTTCACTCTGTGCAACATCTCTACGTTACTATGCTCCTACAGAACAACATGCTAAAATAACCAACTATTACCCATTTGAGAGGAACCGTTGCTATAATGGCTACCTTTTTCAGAAAGAACCCAGGAAAAATAATACAAAAATAAAAGGTTAATACAGCACCTATGGCAAGAATTACCATCCAAAGCAGGTGCTAATTTCTGTCAGAGTGATAGCTATTACTTTGCACAGGATGAATAATATGACTGATGTTTACAACATAATTCAAAGTTTTTTTTATCCCTCAATAAAGGTTGCAAAGAGCAAAAACGGCTGAACGTTTTGGGTACTTGTAGACAAATGCTGTTTATCCTAATACATAAGAAAAGACAAATGTTTGTTTGTTGATCTTTCCTGGTTTCTCCTCTGAGGTCAGATGCAGACTACTGAACTGCATCATGGCTTCCTGCCTTTTCAGGAGGCACAATCCTGCTGTGAGAAAGTACAGTATGCCTGAATAGTACGATTCTGTACGCTAGAAGCCTTGATGACAGAGCAGTACGTGACCGTACAGGCTCTACAGCCAAGGATGGGTACATTCCCATCTGATGGGGTTTATAGTCTTCCCCCCTCCCCCTCCACCCTCCCTCTACCCACTTAGAATCACATAATTAGATACTAAGCCTTACTGTTCTGGTGAGTCAACAAAAGAAAAAGGAAGACACTGAGTTAGACAGAATTTATTGCTTGTATTTCTTACTCCTGTTTCTCACACTATTAAACAGGATTTTTTCAGTTTTATAGGTACCCAGACAAGTACTGAAACACCAACACACAAATTACAGATCTGACTCAAACATGCCAGAGTCACCGAGTGCAAGGCCGTGCCTCACACGCATCCTTCCTTCACTCCAACTTCAGACACGACTCGCTCTCCAGCCTGAAAAGCTGTGCAATACCGAGACAATGGGATGGATAAAGGACAGCATGTTTACTAGTTTTACAGCCTCTTTTTTTTCGAAGACTTTGCATTAGATTAGAGATAAGTGCCTCACACAGATAATGCTACCAACAGCACATACTTCAGAACAGCTCAGCAGTTCCAGTTCTCACTGGTCTCTAATGCCTGCTCAAGTCCCTTGGGATACCGCAGAGTTCACACAGTAAAAGAAAGCTCTCAATTACTTACCACCAAGTTTAAGGCAAGTCTGCATGCAACTCCACACTGCTTGAGGAGTCAGAAGTGCCCTGCTCTTTACCGTAAGAAGCAATGCGCTACTCAAGCTTTTTAAATTCACAGAGAAGTTTATTCAGCTGCTCACTGCCAGCTGCAAGGAGAAACTTGGAACTGCAAGGCAGGAGGAGAGTCTTGGAATGTATTAACATGTGCAGAAACATCACATCCGGATGAGCAGAAACTTACCTCCCCGCTCGTTTAAGGTCCTTCCTCCAGAGCATCTAAATGCTTAAGTCATTGAAAATAAAAATCCACTGAAATTGAACTCACAAAAAGGCAAACTCTGGTCTACCAAACTGCAAACAACAAATAGTCTCAGGGGTCATTCAGTATCTGTGCCTTTTGTGCTTTATCGCAGAAATGGGAGAAAAGTGTTTGAGACAAAACTTAGTGATATCCAGCCTCTTTAAGCAAACAGTAAACCAGTTATGAGCAAATTCCTCTTGTTTGCATGTGTGCAGCTCCCATCAAGTTCAGTGAGGCCTCACATGCGTAAGTGAGGCATAAGTCAACCACATTCTCCTTTGATTCCATGCCCTTAGTCATAATAGCGATAGAAATATTTCCTAAAGCCAAACCATGCTCTCATTCCAGCTTTAAACATGGTTTTACAATGATCTGTACAGCTGCACTACGACACAGTCACAGGGCAGAGCAGTCCTCCTTCCTTCCAGTTCTTTGGCACCCTACTCCTCCAAACGAGCACCCACTGTTCACACCGCCAACTTCGGAGAGCCCAGCACACCTAACACACACACTGACCCCCACCCCCCAGTGCCCACCTTGCTGTCTGAGGAGATGTCTGAAAGGAATCTGGGCAGACTAATTTCTTCAGCTCCTATTCCGCAAAGAGATGGAAGAAGTGCATGGCTGCACGTGCCGTGCTGCAGGCCTTGACTGCACCCACCCTCAAGTGAGGAGAAGCCTTTTCTCCCAGTCCTGACTGCAGCAACACACATGGGGCACCTCACAATTTAGCCTCTCAAATCCTGCCTTCACCTCATAAGCCACATGTTCTGTTACAGGAGAGACTTCTGCAAGGACAGGGAGAAAGGCGACATTTGCATTTGTTCTTGCATATCGGAACTCTATACATCACATGCACAGACATAGTCACAAAGCAAACAAGTGAAAGGTGTGCAACTGAAACATGTAGTGCAAACATGACTTACTAATGACAAGTCTCCATGAGGTATCTCCCTGCTCTGCAGTTCAAGTCTTTGTAAAGTCACTGCTAGTAACGCGCGCTGTCTTTCAAGTAAAAATACATAAGCAGGAATGCAAAGAAAAATTTTGTTTTCTGCCCATGAAGTCAAAAACACAAAGAGAATCTTGTTTCCTGAGTAGAACTATGGGTAACATACCTACCAAACTTCCTTTTGAAGTGAAAAAAGGCTAAAGCCAATACAGCTTTTTTGGCACTCCTGTAGCATAAACACTGCCTTCCCTTTTGGGAGCTCAGTCTTACATGCCAAATTTTAAATCCAACTGAAATTTTGCAATCTCTGTTAACTGTAAAAATGCTGATGCAGCATTAATATCAACAGTTGTTCTGGCACTGCTTTGACTTAATGTTTGTTCTCCTCTTGTACTGCACTTCAGCATTAGGGAACTATTCCCAACACAGACACACCTATCGTGTTACAACATACGCAGCACGAGCCTCAAGAAAGCCAGAATCGAAGCGAAGGAGGCCTGCACGGACTGTTAAGGACAGGAAGGAACAGATACTAAGCAGGTATTGATGGAAAAATCTTCAGAGCACAGTCACCCATCATTACTGGAGGCAGTAATGTTTCTCCTCACAACTCTCACTGTCTGCACTTGGCTTGGCTGGCCCAAGATCACGGTGTTCCCTGAAGAACGTGCCATAGGTTGTATCATTAAGTTTCATCCTTGCCCAAACACCACAAGAACACCCCACCAGGTTAGGAACCTCATCCGCAGAACCCTTTTTACTTCATATGAGTTACAGAGAAGGGTCCAGAGCAGAGTGTAGCAACCAAGCCAGGTCATTCTGTTACCAGACACAAGTTGTCTTAGTTATTAGTCTCCTAAACAACCAGCTTATGCTCAAAAGGCCCAAGGGAATATGAAGACAAGACTGGTATAAAAAGGTGCTGAGTGCCTAGAGTCCTGAGGAACACACTCAATGCAACACCAGTGTGCTATTTCAGTGCTTAAACCCTCTGTCTCAAGGACTGTAGCAGTGACTGAGTATTCTGAAGACATAAAGCTGAAGTCAGCAGTATGCGCGCGCACACACACACACACACACACACACTCACACACAGGAAAGGGTATTTCTCTTTCACCCAAGACTTCTATTCCCGGGCAGAGCTGGAGACGTCTCTTGCAGGACATGCAACTCTCATTATCCAATCAAGAGTGCCCATTGAAAGCGTGCTCTATAAACAGGACCTCACAGAAAGTGCAAAAATAGGGGAGGAAGCCCACTGTTGCTCAAGGGACTTTACCTCGTGGAGAGTAAGATGCTTGCCATCCTTTCTTTTTGAGTCAAATCTGCCATATATTGCACTGTACTTCCTGATTTCCTCCTCTTTGTGAGGGTCCTCATCGCTCATCTCAAAGATGTGACCAATCATCTTTGCCAGTTTCTTATTTGTTTTCAGTAACTCCTTGACTTCATTCAAGTCACTTTTGGGCAAGGAGGGAACCATGCGTTCTACGCATTCAGCAACTGACAGAGCAGCAGCAGCATCCAGCGTCTCGCTGTTCTCCTTTGGTGAAGCGGGAGAGCCGAGGTCAGCCGGGGAAAGGCTATGCTCGCTCTCTGTCGTGTGGTGTCCTTGCCAGAGCCTCGGCTCGCTGCTGCTCTGTAGTGATAAGCTCCCCACCACATCAGATTTGCTCGCACCCACGCTCTGCACGCAAGTTGTGGCAGCGCATTTCGGAATCTTCAAGTGAGGCTCTCTGGCAGCGCTGTTCCGTTCGTAACTACTGCAGGATATCCCCAGCCACGCAGGAGACCCTTCTGGCAGTTTATAGATCGGAATGCTGCTGACTGGTAAGGAAGTGAGAGGCTGGTTAAAAAGACCAGGGTTTGTCACCCAGTCCCTCAGGGCCTTCTGCAACCGTCGCACGTGAAGCGGCTTGCTCGCCATGCCTACCAGAGCCATTATCTCCAAAAACTCCTCTTCACCGGCTTCACAGAGCTGCTGGACGTCATCACCACCCTGCTGAATGAAGGCATCGAAGTAGAACAAGAGATTTGCTTTTTGTAGTATTCGATACAGCTGCAGTTCCCCAAGGGTTCTGGGTAGCGCTGACGCCATCACGGATGACAGAACCTGCAGACAGCAAAAGCAGAGAGAAGATGAACATCAGAACGCTGACACTCAGAGGCATTTCCCCCCTACACCTTTCTTTATGACTGTCAACTGAAAGGATTGTTCTTTTTTCCCCCCTCTCATTAAAAGAGCACATATGGAAATGATAAAATCGGTGATAATTCTCTTTTTCGTTGACCAGTTAATATCTTATCAAACAAGAGACTCAGCTGAAACATTTGTGAAAAAACAAATCAGTAGATAGTTGCGATGCACCTACAAAGAAGATGATTCAAACACAAAACCAGCTTGTTTTCAGCATTCCCACTTCATGTTTGTTCCCAAGAATGTCATTCAATATTGCTCACTGCTTCTATTCCACTTTTTTTTTTTTTTAATATCTTCAGATCAAAACGATCACAGAAGAATTACTGAGTACTTGATCCTCTGAACAAAATATCAGTTTTGATTCCCCTTAATTCCCAAATCGTCTTCCTCCATGTCAATTTGGAGGACTGTAAGAGGAAATCAGAAAAAGAAAGCAATGCTTCACAGAACCGCAGAGAATGAATGAAGCTGGATCTGTGAGGGACTGCTTCAGAACCAAGCATTTCTACCATTTTTACCACTTCATATACACAGGATCCAATACCTCTCTGCTCATCTTAATCACAGTAGCAACATCCACAGACGAAAAAAGAACTCTGATGGATTCCAACACATACGGCTTAAAATCATGCCTTGGGATTCACCTGCCTGTTTCATCTGCTAACAGCAGTGGATCATCGATAGCTATGAGATGAAACAGCACTCGGCTATACAGCAATTGCACTCCAAAAGCTCCCAAGAGACAAACAGCAGCAGTCGCCTGTCCTTGTTGCTGCAGGAAAGCCATTTGTTCAGGTTTCAGCTTGGGAGAATGGTGTTACTGTAAAACCCACGTTATCCACAATAATCCCACAAATAAGAAACCCTTCAGAGAACTCTAAGATCTCACACTTACACGGCGGCTTTCACAACTACAAGCAGATAATTTCCAGTATTAGTGTATTAAGCTAAACCACCAATCAATAAGACCTAAAGCATGCAATTTGCAGTTGGTTCTGAAGGTAACAGAACTAAAACACACAACTGGTCTGCTAGCATTACTCTGCCTCTGCTATCACATCACGCTTCAATAGAACACACAGTAACACCCCAAAATCTGCACTTGGAGAACATAACGGGGGGAAACCAGTTTAATGAAACGCAAAAAAAAATATACCCTCAGCACAGGACTGGCAGAGGAATGAATATATCTTTACCTATCTACTAACAACAATCAAAATTAGTAGGCCAACGAAGTTCACAAAGATGCGTGTGGCAGTGATAGGATACATACAAACTATCTCCCCAGGAAGAAAATAAAGGCCTGAAAAATGAAAGAGCTGCACATCTCGTCCTTTAAAGTTCTGCAGAGCAGAACTGACAGCAATAGCTGTTGGATCTAAGTAGTCACCCCAAGGGCCTGCTGCTGGGACCTACACCTACCAGGCTGTGTGCTTGGAAACTCAAGGTGCAACTGGAATGCCAAAGAGCTGCGTGTTTTTAGACATAGAGCTGAACTGTATAAAATCATTCATTGCAGAACAACAGTTCAGTACTGTCTACACTCCAAGATGGGAGCAGCAATAAGGAAACGAGGCACACTGCTTAAGGAAATTCTTGAAGCAGCACATAATCCTGTATTCTAAAAGCTGTCATTACTTCTCGGAAGTTCTTAGAAAAAACCTCCAATTCCATGCAGACTTTGACAGGACAACATTAACGGCCTACAGATCAGCAGCACTTCAGCAAACCGTTCCTACCCTCCTGCTTCAAATGATGTTGTCTTTTTCTTATCAATACCACAAATCAATTTGTTTATATAACTGCTACTGGAATACCCATTTTCTCTGAAAGACATCCATCTCTGCATTGAATCTACATACATCTACATAAACGGGCTTTGTGTGGAAAACCAAATTGAATTCTGAGACGAAGGTGGCAGCGAAATTACACACAGCCCAAGCGCTCCAGGCAAGGCATGGAGCTAATTTTTCCAGCCCACGGCCTGGAAGGAGCAACCATAGCCCATGAGCAGCCTTTACCTAGAGGCTCTAATCAACACATCTCCTCATGACAGATAAAACTGGATTAATATGTACTATGGAGGCGTCAGCAGTGAGTCCACAGTTCAGACTGCGCTGAGGTTTGCATTTAAAGCAAGACTGAAATCCCCTTGTTTCATACTTTGAAGACCAATTCTGCTTTCCAAATTTAGTACAGTAACTCCTCAGAGGGCCACGCAAATTTTCCAATGTAAGCTCGCTCCTAATTTCCGCAGAGCAGACGTTTTTAAACACTCCCCCTTTCGACCTCCCTTCTCCTCTCATCAAGCTGAGCTCCTCCAGTTGGACCACGCTCACCCCGACAACATCCCGAGCACTTGAGAGCTTTCCCAACAGGGCAGCCCCGCTCCCTGCCAGCTGTGCTGCCTGCCCAGCCTCTCCCAGCCCGCTCCCCAGGTCAGCTCTGTGCAGCCAGGGAGGCAGTGAGCTGGTCAACCTGGAATTGTGAGACGGGAAACAGGAGAAGCAGCAACAAGGGTTTGCTGAGACAGCAGTGTGGCATTCCAAGAATCAGGAGCCCCTAACCCAGAGGGCACAGTGCTGCTATCGCTGCTTGTCTGTTGGGCAACACCAGCTGCAGAGCACCCACTCATCGGGGTGCCACTGCTACCCATCTCTCATAAGATGTTTAAACAGCTTCTCTGAGGCAAAAAGGAGTGCTTCTCACCCTTGCTGCCATTTCTGAGAGCAGCAGGGACAGCACTTTTGGGACAAAGGCTAGGCACAAAGAAGGGTTATGCAATGGGCAGACAGTGAGAAGCAGACACCACAAACTGCATATGCTCCTCAGCAGGGAGAGCACCTCAAGAGGCCCCGGAGCACCAGGGGCATTCCTATTCTTCTTCTTCTTCCACAGCCACCCCAGAATGAGCTGCTTTGGGAGCAGCAACACAAGAGGCTCCTCTGATGCCCACCCGAATGCCGTGCTGCTGTACAGCGAGCGTACGAACCTGCTGAGCCCATCCAGCTGCCAACCCTCACAGCAAAGGGCTGCAACGCGAGATGAGTACGAGGGGCTACAAGGATACACGTTCATCCTTTACATTTTCCACGCACAGAACAATGAAGCCAGGAAATTCACAGTGGCAGAAAAAGCAGTCTGGAGCACAGGTCGGGCTGCACGCCGTGCCAGCCGTACAGGAACCAGGAAATCACGGCTCAGACCCGCGCTGCCCTCGCCCAGGCTGCGCTCCACGCCTCTTCCCTCGCCCCCACCGCCCCCACCCTATCGCTGACCGCAGCGGGGCCGTGGGAGCGGAGGGCAGGGCAGCAAACGCCGCCAGCCCCGTCCTCATCCACAGCCCGACCCGACCGCCTCTTCGCAGGTACCGCCGCACGCCGACGGGACCCGAGCGTCACCGATTCAATAGGAAGAGGGGGAAACACGCATTCCCGTATTCGAGGCAAAAGTCACCGTTTCATAATACATCTCCATCACTTGGGGCGTTCTGAAGTCTCCGAGGACGCGCCGGGTTCGGAGCTGAGCGCCGCGCTTTGCATATTCATCGCCTTTTGCAGCGTTTCCAGAGGACTTTCAGCAAGAGAGGAAAATTACACGGAGCTGCAGCAGCAGCAGCGAGACTTTGCAAATTAAACAAGTCTCGTCTGGCTCCGAGATGTGCCAAAATACAGCCTCGCTGGCGGGCTCCCCGCTCGGGCACTAAGCTGCAACTCTTAACAAACCGAAACACGCGGCAATCGCGTGAGGACACAGCACCGCTCCGCACAGCCTCGCTCACCGCCGCCGCTCCCGCCCGCCGCCCGCACGGCGGCCCCAATGCCCCCAGCAGCACCCCGGCACCGCCCCCCCGTCCCGCTCCGCTCTCCCCCGCCTCAGCGCTCCGCCCGGCCCGCCCCCGCTGGAGCGGGCGCCGCGGGGCCGCTTTCCGCCCGCGGGGCCGCCGCCCGGCCCGGCCCGGTCCCGCACGTACCCCGCGGTAGGCCTCCGCCGCGGGCCGCCCGCGGCTCCCCTCGCCGCCGTCCCGGCGCCGCAGCCTCAGCCCCGCCGAAGTTCCTGCCAGCGCCCCCCCGGCCCGGGCTCCTCCTTTCCCATGGACGGGGCGGCCGGGCGAGCCCGTCCTCGCTGCCGCTGCCGCTACCGCCGCCGGGAGGGAGGGGGGCCGCGCGGCCGCCCCGCCGCCCAGCTCCGCGTTCGCTCGGAGACCGAGGGGAGGAAGGAGGCAGGGAGGGAAGGAAGGAGGGAGCGGCCTGCGCCGCCCGCGCCGTCACGTGGGGAGGTCCCGCGCGCGCTCCGCCGCCCCCTCGCCCACGCGCGGCCGCCGCGTGACGCAGAGCCCGGCGGGGGCCGCCGCCGCGCGGGGGCGGGAGCGGCAGAGGGAGCGGCGCGGGGAGAGCGGCACCGCCCGCCGGACCCCGCGCCTCGCCGGGCCTAAAAGTTTCCCGAAGAGGGAGCCCGCGGGGAGCGGCGCGGCCCCGCCTCGCTCCGGGCGCTCCGCCGTTCCCATGAGAAAGCCGAGCCGCGCGCTGCCCGGCGAGACCGCAAAAATGCGCGCGGCGCTGCCTCCTCTCTCCCACTCCGACGGGTTTTGCATGCGCCTCGAGGCGCTGCAGCCGCGGCGATTAAAGCTGTCGAATATGACGGCTATCGCGCTGCCGTCGGGTGCCCATCCTCAACGCGCCGTTTGCGCAGCCGCTGACCGCGCTGCCGAGAGCCACCGGTCCGCCAACCCGCCCCGCCTCGTGTGCGCACGGCGTGGCCCCGGGGGCGCGGCCCACGCTGCGAGGCCGGCGGCGGCTCCGCCGTCTCCCTCGGCCGATGTGACGGCGCTGGGCAGAAAGCCAGGGGCTGCCGAGGAGGAGAACGGAGGCTTTCCCAGCGAGGAGCGGGAAAGCGTGCTGTCGTTTTGTAGCGCCGTCCCAGAGGGGACGCAGCGCTGCTCTCATCCCGCTCTAAAGACCCACTGATGCGACATTGCGGCTGTCTGCCCTGCGCAGGTGGGAAGGATGGGCTGGAAACAGTCCTGGTAACTTTACAGCTACTTTCGTGCTGTACGCTTTGGTTTTGAAGTGGTTGTGGTGCGAGCCTTTGTCACGATAACAAAGCACGTAGATTGGGTGGATCCAGTAATGGAGGCGGCAGAACCTTTGCTCTGGACTCGACCTCTACTTCAGACCTTCTTTGTCTGTAATGATTGCAAGCTATATGCAGTCACAGTCAGCAGTCTTAAAACTCTTACCCTGCCTGAGCGCTGCCTGGTGCGCTCTTGGTGGCACAGTCCCTACAGGTTGCTGGGCAGCTTGCAGTGCACAAGCAGAAGCACACATGCCCTTTACATCCATGTAAAGCCAGCCAGCCTTCTGCATGTGCTGACTGCCGCTGTGCTAGCTGGTACCTTGGGAATTCCAAAGCATGAGGAATGGGCTCACTCAAAGGCAGGTGTGTTCTGCAGCTCCTGCAGGGCTCCAGGGCTGTCCCAGCTTTGTGCCACACAGAGCTCTCCGTGACATATCAGATGCTCTGCCACAAGACATTTGCAAAACTCAGCGGTATGTGTGGGGGAAGTAAAGCACGGGGTTAGAGAGGGGGAAAGTGATAGATCTGCTGTCGCCTTTGTGGAGCTGAGAGCAGGGAGCATCTCGGCAGGATGGATCCTTCCTTCTCTGGCTCTGTGTTGTGCTGTCTGATTGCATGAAAAAAGAAAATCACACATGGCATAGGGACACTTCCATAATATATGGAAGAAGCACGCAGCTGATGAGTTCTCTATTTTCTCTGACTCCCAGACTGAGGAGAAATCCGAGCAAAATACGAGCTCTACAGAATGAAGAAAAGAAAATCGGCAGCAAGCAATTACATAGAAGGAAACAAGACGGCAAGGCAGATCCAGAGGCAATTTACAAGGCTGCCAACACAGCAGCTGGTACAGCTCCCCGAAGAGCTCCACGCAGCACAGCTCCTTGGTTGGTCCCTCCAGCTCCAACTGCCACCATAAGAGCTGCAGAGCAGAGCACAGGGCTGGCACTGCCACCCCAACTCACCACAGGCTGTTTCCTTCTAGCAGGTCACAGCTGCAGGCTGGGTCCTAAGACACACACAGCATTAGGGAAAGTGCATGTTGAAACACATTTCTCAAGGATGCCATGAATGCCTGGGAGGAAAACCTTCAAATTGTTTACTCTTAACGAAGAAGGCAAAAATGCATTGCACAAGCACTTCTTTTTTGATATATTGTTGGGCAGGGTGTTGTGGCTGGAGTGCAAGGCCAGGCCCAGAGGTGGCTGCACACAGTTGCTGGCTCTGCTGTGCCAGCACACTGACACCACGCAGGTTACTTCGCCTTCTCCACGTTTCCATCTGGAAATCAGGATTGACTCAACTTCCTCATTGAAGCCGTTGCTGATCTGGTGATGGAGTGCCAGATGAAAGGCAAGGATCGTTCTTAAGCACAATAAATATTCATAGCATCCAGCACAGTGGGCTTGCTGGGCAGGTGACTTGTCACAGACTATGCCCCAGAAGGTCTGTTGTCTCCTGTACACTACATATATGAAGTTGTGCAATGCAGCAGAGAACAAATATAGAGCAGGATGTGTTTTTTTTTTGGCACCACCTTATTGAGTGCATGGTTAGAATAAGAGTTCAGGAAGAGAACTTGCATGCTTGGAGCATGTAAATCAGAGAGTGGCTTCAAAGTACAAGGAATTTTAATATATGACAGCTGAGATCATGGGCAATGGAGGCAGAAGAAAGCTGGGGTGGGAACTAAGAAATGGAAGGGTGTGCGGGCGTCAGCGGGGGCAGGATGGAGCAGAGCAGAACTTCAGGAGTTTTCACCTTGCTGGGAGAGTGTGAACCAGGAAGACAGGGTCAGAGCTGACTGGAGGAGGAAATTACCTCATCAACATTGCAAGTGATATCTTTCTATTGATTGTCAAATGAACAGATTTTATGGCCCGGAGCAGCCGTATAAAATCACCGTACTCTGACCTCCTGTGCCCTGAAGATGAAAGGATTTCATCTAGTCATTTGAATTAGATGAATCCTATGTAAATAAAATAGCACACCAACTGTAATTTGTTGGAAGCTACAGATTCATCACAGACCAAGACCTGTGCAAGCATGTGGTGCATAAACTTTGCAAAGACTTTGAGCTCATTGAGTCGTCATCAGAACGGGAACGAATGTGGAAATGACTGCATTGAATTGTGCCCAATGTGGTATTTTAGCTGTGCCTGTTACGGCCAGATGCTTACCAAGAACTGTGCATCCCTTGGGAAGCATGGAGCTTGCTGCTGACCCCCTCTGAGGCACAAGCCCAAGCAGTCGGAGCTCCTGCAGATGAAGGGCTGGGTGAGCTGCTGGAGGGGCTGTGAGCACTCAGATGGTGAAGCTCTCTCCCAGCAGGGTGCTGATCATGATGCACGTGTGAGCTGCCTGCACCGTGCCAAGGGCTGTGGCTGGCACAAGCAGGAAGGCAGACTGAAGCCATTTCCATTAACTGCAAGTAAATTTATGTTTATAAAGCCAAGTTCTTGTACGTCTTCATACAGTCAGTTTCTCCTTGGGGCAGAAAGAGAAACTGACTCCTTAACATCAGTAGTTGCATTCCTGTTTTATAGGCCAGCATCCAATTTCTTAAGAATTCTGGCAACATGGTTGTAAAGCTCCACTCACAGCTGCCCCTACCAGGGCATCCCATCAGCTCAGCACGTTTGCCCTGACAAGACCATTGGCAGCAGATGAGAGAAACCAGTCACGCCAGAAGAAATGCTGGTATCTAAGGGCAGGTACGAATCACTCGAACGTGTTCTGATCTGCAGGGTTCCCACTGTCCTCAGCAGGAAAGCCAAGCTAGGAGTAGGCTGTCCCATCATCTCATGTGCAATGAGCACCATTTTTTGCAGGAGCGAGAAGGTCCTGGTGCTCCTTTGTCACCTCCACACAGTGGCAGAGCGGGGCAGCATAGCTGATAGCTGGGAGATCAGATTAAATATGGAACCCTAAGGGAACTGAACACACTGACAAGATCAGCCTGCGTCTGAGGAATACCTTCATCTGAAAAGCAGAGGGAGGAGGAGGAACTTCTGAGATGTCAAAATATACCATTTCAACATTTTCAAAATAGCAGAGCCAAACCTTTCTTTTTTTTTTCCTTTGAAACAGCCTGTTTCTGACAAAAAGTACCCCTAAACTCAACTACAATAACAGAAAACAAATTGGAAAAAAATGACTTATAGAGCTCAATACTCCCAGAATTAAATGAAATCATCATTTTGGCTCAGATTAACTGCTACAATCAAATAAAAATAACCTTGTTTCATTTTGCATCATGCCTACCAACACAAGCACAGCACTGATAACTCTTTTGGAGCTCCTAGACCTTAGTTTTAGTTCTGTACCTTTCAGCCATAAAGCCGCAATCTTGGTCCAGTTCTAACAAAGGGAAAAAAAAGAAAGTGAGAAAATCTAAACAAATGGCAGGAAGGAGTATAAAACTGTGGGCATATTTAATTGTAAGCTTGGTAGAGTAGGTCTTGATTTGCGCATCTCTGTAGGGGCGAGAAAGCACTGAAGACCTTACAAACTTCCCCACTTCATTACCGAAATCCTGACTGCTGCAAATTGCTTTCCCTCCCACACCAGTCCTGAGCCACATCCAAACCCAACCTGGCCGTGATACAGGCAAATGAGGCAAAGCAGAAGGCTGACGGAGGAGTCTTTAAGGTCTAGAAGTACAGGAGGGCAGTGATGGAGCACAAGACTGCGCCCTTGAGCCCCGCAATGACAACCAGGAGTTGCTCTGGGCTCTCCTTCATGGCCAAACCAGACGATTACTTAATTTTTCAGCCTGTAAAAATAGCAAAGCCAGTGGCAGGAAGGGATGGCAGGAGAAAGCAAGTGCGGAGTGAGTGACAGCGAGCGTGGCGCGGCACCTCCAGAGTGGGAGTTTGGCTTCGCAGGCAGTCACTCAGATCTCAGCGGTAGCCTGGGGCGGTTTTCAGTTTGTAACTTTAATCTTTTAATCTTTCCCTCTCCCCGTGTGCGTGGGTGAGCAGCACACGTTGGTGGGTTGATTCTGCAACACCTCTCCCTCACTCCCTGCTCTCCATCTGTACATTCAGTGGACCCACATTGAAGACGCTTTGGGTTAAAAGGGAAGAAATACCCCAAAAGCAAGACCATGAGACAGCAAGGGGCTGAATGGTCACCCCAGCAAATTGGTTGATGAGGGGACTCAACGTCCCAAGTTTCCTGCAGACAAAGCAAGTCAGGGCCAGCAGCAGAGGTCTTCACTGTGTACAAGTGAATAGCTGGAGAAATGAACACTAGATAATAACTGGGGAAAAAAAACCACCTCTTAACCTGACAGTAAAACACAACTACACCCATCAGTGTCTGCTAGCACAGGAGAGCAGGACTGTGGCAGTCTGTGCAGGCTGACTACAGATGGCCAGCAGTGCTTTCCAAAAACAGCACCCAAACTCCTCGCCAGAGACTTAGCGTTGGCTGCAGCTTTGGACAGGTCTCTCACCACAAACATGTAAAGCCAGAAGGCAAAAATCTTGACCTCACAGAGATCAAGGGCTCATTCACCACTTGAAGGGGATGACATTTCGTTGCGGTTGAGCAAATACCTGATTCTTTGCTGTAGTCCTGGCTCTCAAATGCCTCCTGTATGTGCGTCTCCTGAGCTCCCATGAGCTCCCAGTGTCTTTATGAGGATTTGAGTGCCCAAGTGTTAGATGCGCAGGTACTTGATGCTTTGGTTTATCCACATGTCAAACTCAGCTGAGGGTTTTCCATGTCACATCATTTTGGGAAGCCAAGAGCCCACAAAGGACCCTGAAACCTACAAGTGAAAAAAAACACAGAACAGGGGAATTCTGACTACACTTGAGGCCCTCTTTCCAAGTAAGGAGAAGGCTTCTATGCTTCTCAGCTCCTCTCTTGGCAGTGATTTATGTGTAGGCAGTGGTCATAATCAGGAAGTGCCTCCTCCAATTTACAGCTGGTGATACCACCTGTGCCTCTCTAATTCCAGCCAAAACAACCACCTCCTCAAGCCCACGTGTAAGGAAGGGCAGAGGATCCAGCGATGACAACGCCAAGAGAATAGCAAGACTCTGGTTGAAGTGCTGACATTATCCCCAGACACATACTGCTGTTTATAAGTGTATTTTCTTGCTTCCTGTAAATACAGTTGCCCTAGCTACCGAGAGAGGTAGACCTGACTTAAGAGTGCACTAACTGCAACAACATTAGGTGACAGGAGGGGCACACAGGACACAAGACAAGGTTAAAATGTTCAAATTTGCAGGGCCAGGGACTCATGTATGTGCCTGTGTAGCAGCTGGAATGGAGGAAAGCAGAGTCATTACTCATCGCTTAAATTCTGTCAAGGACTTTTTCTTTCTGGAAAGAAAACAGCGAGTTAGTAATCGATGGTGAGGAAGAGAACTCTACAACTGAGATACAAGCGTGTATAGGGGTGTGTGTATATACACATACTTTGTTGGTATTATTTGTTTGTCCCCCGGAGTCCATCTTCTAAAGATGTCTTGCATCCAAGTAGCATAAGCAGGGTGTTTGGTTGGCTTTTTTGGCAATGTCTAGCACTATTTCACATTGCAAACGGTTCTCTGCGCACACACAAAAAAAGGAGGTAAAGTAATGGTGACAAGTGCCACAGACCTGATGATCTACTTTCAGCCAGCATGAAAACTTTAAGAGGACCCTGGGAAACAGGCTGGCTTTCAATTCCTATCTCAGCAATCATAGTGATGTTTTTGCTTCCAGATGAGCAGGAATCAGGTAGATTTTGTGTAGATGACAGCATATCACAGCTTGTGGCTGTTACAGTCTTAATTACCAGTTATCACCCAGGCTTCACAAGGAATAAGTTTTGATGCCTTAGACATTACTATCTGAGATGGCCTTACATCCTTGATAGCAAGAACCAGTTGTATTTTCTGGTTGCTGGTGAGCTTCACTCAGCATCACCATGTGGCTGCAGCATTCCTCCCATAGTGGCTGAAGACACCTCCCTGTTTGCGGTGGATCCCAGTTCTTGTTCAGTGTTTTCTGCTTCAGTCTACTTCAGACCTTGATCAGAACTTTTAAGAGCTGGCATTCATTGTAGACAGCCGAGCTTTTCCACATGCAAGTCCATTATGGGGCACGCTCTGTGGTCTTGGTCTAGTCTCCTACTCCTACTGACAAAGCTCCCGTTGGATTCCCTGGAGCAGTGAGGGCCGAGAGGCACTGATTTTCTGATTTATTAATTGCCTGTGTTTCCAGTTAGGCCAGAGCTGTGGGTGCCAAAACCTCAAGGGAGTCATTTACCCTCATTGCAAGTATCACTTCAGCCTTTCTGATGCCAGTGGAAAATTAATATCCTTTGGAGACAACTTAAGGGCACTCTATGAGCTATATAAAGAAGAAAACAACAGGATCAGAATGAAAACTAACAGTTTGTGATATCAGATGAAACACTCCCTTTCATCGGCTGTTTTTTTCAGAAGCTGTTTGTTACTTCATTTCACCCACTTCCCATAGCCTCCAAAAGTTATTTTTGAATGACCTGCTTGCCACAGATTCCCTGAAGAGGCCCAGCTCTTTACTTGTCTTTCAGAAAGTCCCTTGCTGGTGCAGGTACCTATAATTATTCATACATGAACCTAAAGCAGGCAGCTTCTCATCTTCCACTTAGATTTTTTTAATGGGTGACGAAGAAGGGAACAATTCAGCCATACGGCTTGGTGAAGCTTTTGCTCTGCAGCTCTCTGAGCCCAGCACCATGGTGACAGGTCTCTCTGTAGTAAAGTGGGATTTCGTTTATTTGATCTCTGCATGTCCGTCAGAAGGCACCTGGTGGCTGGGACAAAAAGACGAGACACGGGGCTCTGTGGCTTGCTCTCCTCTGCACAAGCCTGACATCAGTGGGAAAGGTCACATAGCAGTTTTGAAGTAAGATGTATGCACAACCTTTTCAGAGAGGTTTGCTGAAAAACAAAAGCAGAATGCATGTGGTCATGTTTGAGTAATACACGGATAGCTACTAGGTTCACTTCCTCTACAGGCCTTTCTGTTTTCAGCATATTTAGCTGAATATGAGCAATTTTTGCACACTTCAGAAGCGTTTTCTACAGCCAGACCTGTTTACAGCACTGGCAAGACGTAGCTCATCAGGTTAACACATGTGAAATTTATCTCACGTTAAACAAAGCAAGGTCTGGGAAATCTGACCACTGTGTTTCAGGGAAAAGAAACTAAAAAGAGAGGGATCCCAATGATCCAGTGATTAACACTGTAATAAGTACATTTGAAAAAACAGAATGGAAGGGCAATGCAGCACTTACCTCCTGAACCAAGCAGTAGTTCCAGGTAGCTTTATTCTAGAAATAAAAACAGCCAGAAGGATACAGGTATCCTCATGGTACTGGGTCAGCAGCTGGCGGAGCAGCACTGGTGGATGCAAGCATACAGAGGACACCACGTTGCCCCCAACTCTGCCTACCTGGCTGGGCAGCTGGGCCAAAAGCTGGTTGAGTGGGATCACAGAGGTGCAGTTTTGTCAGCAGGAGGCTTGGGAGCAGATGAAAGCACAGGTCTGCCATCCCCAACATTCTTGCCAGAGAAGTTGAGCTGGTATAGGGAGGGGAAATTAGCTGTGCTCGATAAAGGAGAAGTATTAAAATCATAATTTGCCTGGAGCAGTAAGGAAACCAAGAAAAGGAATAGCGACTCTCCAAGGGATCCAGCTGCACGCCACTCCTTTTGGGGGTAAGCTGTGATATTTCAGTCTTACCTGTTGAATTCACACCCAGGGAAATAAGATGTAGATGAAAACAAGGAGTTTTAAAAATTATTTTTACTAACCCATCACTCAGCATTCTTTATCTATGATTTAATAGCACTTGTACCATTCATAACTTTTCAACCAGAGGGAAAAATGTGATAGGATTTTGCATGACTCAAGGGTTTTATGGGGTGCTTTAAAACGGCTCAGCTGTCAGGCTTTTATCTGTGTTGAAGCATAGCAAAAACTGGAGTTCTGTAAAATGGCCTGGGCTCTGGGCTTCCATAGAGCGCACAAAGTATGTTTAGTGCTTGTTACAGGTGATTTTGTTCTGAAAAGTACTTCAAGCTGCTCTAGAAAGCCTGGCAGATACATCACCTGGTTAAGCACGAGCACAAAGGTTCCTGCTGTCTTGGGGATATATTTGCACAAACCTTCAAACTTTTTCGACTAACCAATTATAAAGATTACCTGAAGCTTGCATACATGACCACAGTCATAGCGCTCCTCACAGTTTCCAGGGACGGATTCTCAGCTGCTGTGCATCTGCATGGAGCCACCAAGAACTCAACTGCCAGAGGTCTCTTGCATTTATTTCTAGCAAGCAATCACCATACAGGTTTTCTTTCCTACTTAGCCTCAATCTGTGTGCGTCCTTTCTCCTGCTCCCTTATCTTTTGAGCACCCACATGGAGTGCATCCCCCTGGTCCCTGGAACAGCAGCATACGGCTTTCTAGTTGGTAAACATCTGCACTGTTAACTGCATTGTCAGCTTCAGCCAAGGACTGCAGCATCCTCAGCGAGACGTCATAAGGACAGACCATAGGACGGAGGAAAGAGCTGTCCCTGGAAATGGTTCTTTGGTACAACTTGAAACAAGAAAATCTGCTTCTGAGGTGCAGAATAGTAGGCTGCAGGCTAGCGGTGCTGGCACCTGAAGATCCTGACCTTTCCTTCCTTGGGCAGAACTGTTGTGCTGCTGTTCTGAGTAATCCCTGTACAAGACTTACTAGTAGTAGCAACAATAGTAATAAAGAGTTACAGAACAAACTCTGCGTTCTGAATATGGTTCAGAAGGGAAACATACCACATTTGTCTGCTTTAGAAGAGCTGGGAAAGCTTGTCATAGCTAAGACTGAAAGTATTAGGCAGATGTGACCTTTAATATCTGAGCTGTCATGAGACAGGAAATTGCGTTGTTACCTCAGTGAAAAAACAGCCCACAGCAGTTCAACAGTGAGCATTAGAGGCCACTTCATCCCTGGGGCGATGCTGCGTGACAGACTCCTGATGTCTAACTGGGGCTCCAGTACCAAAAAGTGCCCTCCACGATAGGCACAGTGCAGTCCTTTGTCCCAGGAGGAGCACAGGCAGTTGATGCAGATGCTCAGACGTCCGCAGGAGCCCAGTCCCAGCCACCTGCTGTACCTGCTCCCCATCACATTATTAAGAGATCACACTCTTTGGCTTCTGAAGATTCCTTGCGGAGCAAAACTGCATCAAACACATGGGAAGTTTGTAGGCCGAGCTGTGCTGAATGACAAACTGAACAAAAACTAAGACACTTTGCAAACGGATTGCAAGTCATCCTTTTTTCCTCCCCAGGCTCTCCCCTCTGAAACGCCTTGCTGTTTGTGGCCAACTTCCAGCACTAAAAGGTAGTAGCAGGCTGCACAACAAGTGGGGAAACCTGCTGATGGATGGACTTTGTGCTGGCAGGGTTAGAGGGAGCGGGAAGGAAGCTAATGGGGGACAAGTTTCACATTTCAGCAGCCAGAGACAAGCACTGCTCTGTGACAAGATTCGACAGAGTTTCTTGTTTCGAGCGTACCATGCCCAAGATCCCCTTCTTCCAACACGTTGTATTGTGCCTCAGCTGAAATCCCTTTGAAGAACAATATGCACACACAATGTAATCTGACATTATTCCAGTGCTACAGGGAACATCTTGAACATAATCGCACCGCATGGAAGCTGACTTGCTATGCGAAAAACAGACCAAAATGCTTTCACAACAAATCTGTAAACACATTTATGCTCCCAATAGCCATGATAAACCCAATCAAACAGCCAGGATTAGTGCTAACAACTCTCACTAAAGGAGTTAATGGAGTTTCTGTTGCGTGAAATGCACCAGCTTTAAGGAAGAACTCACAGCTCCTGGCCACCAAATTTGTAGGCAAGCCTCACTTGGGAGGACTGGCATCCAAACCAAGACTCCTCCAGTCCTCTTGCTCACATCCTGCTCTCACTGGCACTGCACTGCCTCACCTCCCTCTCCCTCATCCTGGTATTACAACCATGCCCATTCTGCCTTTCTTCAGCACCAGGCAGCAAGCCTAACAAGCTTTTATGCCTGTTTCAGAGCGCTCTGGTCATCCTCAATCCTTTGTGTCAATGTGACAGCCTCAAGAGAATGGAACCCATGTTTTTGCAGCTTATTTTCTCCAGATCCCAGCTGCAGTATGCACAACTCACACCTCATCCATCAGGAACCACTGCTGTGGGAAACTGTTGTGCAGCACAGCACAGCAGAAAATCAAACTGAAAGTCATCCTCACTTGAGATAAGAAGAAAGATCTAAGCCTGTCAAGGTCAGAACATGTCCTAGCACAACTGCTGGTCCTCTCCTTATGCTGAAGGCTGTCAGAATGAGGGTCGCTTGGTGTTTACCACCATCATCACTCAGATGCAGAGCTCACACTTGCAATAACGACACGCAGTACCAGCAGCCAAGGAGGTTCCTGCACGTGGGCACACCAGCTCCATACCATGCTGGGAAGTCCTGTTTCACGATGTGGCACTACAAGGGACCAGTTGTAAAAGCCTCTTAAATGTGGAATAACTTACTTGCTCAAGTGTTGTTCAACTTCCCTGCAGTTCACAAGCTGTTCAAAAAATGTAGTTAGTGATAAGAGCCACACTTCTGAAGCCAATTAATTAGAAGACCTGGTTCTAGTCTGATGTTCCGCTACTAATTCACTGAAAACAGACATTTCCCATGGAAGATGAATTATTTAATTCAAGAATGGAAAATGTTCTTTCTCGAAAATTCCAATGCAGAGCAAGCACGGTGTAAAGCAGTGGAAAGCACGGTATATTGCAGCACTGCAGGAGCAAGGATCTCTGTCTGGGGGCATCACTTCAGCAGAGCATCACGCAAGGTTTGCATGGACTGTTAGTAACGCAGAAAACATGCTACTAACAGTAATAATAGCACAGTATTTACAACCACCACTGTTCTGCACCTGCAATTTCAGAAGACTCTGCATCAAAACCACCAAAACAATTAGAATCTCATCTGTATTTCCCATGAGGGAGGAACTCCTTTTCACAAGCAGGCTCACAGAAGCAGAGCTGCTGGCTCACATGCCCACTGAAAACATGTTCCCTGGGTCAGCCGGCCACGGCCCGACAGCCACAGCCTGAGTGGTGGAGCTGGCTCAGTGCTCGGCTCTGTTCCTGAGCATCCTTACTGCATATTAGCCACATAAGTAAGAGTTCAAAGCTTAATGGTTAATTATTCTTTAAATAAATGGAGTGTGGTAGCCCCACACGGCCCATCTCTCTGCTACATCAGGACGCCGTTGTGTTCAGCCCATGCTTTGCTATTTGCCCTCCACCTGCTGAAACTCTAGAACATTGTCTCAAGCAAATGTACTTGCTACTGTCTTTGCCCACAGGACAGCAGGTACCCAGAAATAGCTATAGAAAATACCTCAGAATTAAGAGTATGCTAGCATCGGCATCTGTAAACCTTGCTTTCCCATAGCAAAAGAGCCAGCTAGAAAATACTGTGATGGATTCTAGCATCACTGCTTTCGATTCAGCTTGCTTCCTGCTTTTCCCCCCTAAATGATGCACCCAGATCGTGCCGATTCCCAGAGACAGATCCCGAAGGAGCCCTGGGCTGTATTATCTCTGCAGCTAAGAAACTCCACCTCTGTGCCTTTGCTGCTACTGTCTGTGTGTGTGATCGTTAGCCCCTTCACAGTATTTTGGTTTCTGCTATTCTGCCGCAAATGTTTCAGGCTTCCATTTTCAGTAGATGCAGCCATGGTCTCTCAAAGCTATGACTCACAGCATAAGAAAGTGATGTAATACCCAGCTTGAATGCCCAGCTGGGAAGTCAAACCAACCAAGGAGAAATTTGTGCCTACACAACAACAGCCAATGATTCTGAGCACCACAAGTTTCAGTCTCTTAACAGCACTTAAAAAACACCCAGTTCTCAAAAACAGCTATACCCTGTCTTTCTATGAAACAAACATTCTACAAGCATCCCATGCCTGTGTGTGGTCATGTTAGAAACAGGCTGGAAGATGCTGTTCCCAGGGTGGGCAGGGTGCTTGGGACAGGGAGCAGTAGAGCTGTGACTCTCACAGTGGTCCTGGCCCCCAAGCACACGAAGAAGCAGGTGAGGAATTCTAGCCTACTGGGTTTCTTTTTGGCATCTAAGCTGCTGAAGCCACACCTGTGGCTCACACACATTGTTCAAATGTTTGCAGACCTTTAGACACCTTAAGCAACAGTGATTAGGCTGGAGTACTCCATGAGTATTCCTAGGTGTGCCTGAGTTGTTTCTGACCTCCTTATGCTGCAGCTGATTTGGCTTATGGAACTGGCAAGGTCCTCTGGTGTGTTTGGTACTTGTAACTTCCTTGAAGCAGAAAGTGGTACTTGCAAGCTTAGCAACGCTGTGGCATGTCTGTACCAAAAGAAGCCAAAGAAGCTTGCTCACAGCTAAGAGCTGCCGAAGGTCCAGACCACCTGGCAAGAAACACCTGCCTATGGACACCTTCCTCTGGAGGAACAGTCCTGGGAACTCACAGTTGAGGTTTGGCAAGATGGAACAAACGCTGTTGCTTCCAGATTGCGTTGCTTTTAAAACTAAAAGCTCAGAAAAGCTATTTCCTCCCTCCTTCCCCCCCCCCAAGAGTTACTCCTTTCTTCCATCACTTTGTGTAGGCCTAACCTAACCTGGCATTGTCCACAGTCTATGCCTTAGAGGAGCTTTGAAGGGAGCACCTGCTTCCTCTCCTTGCTACTGGAGTAAGTTATTCTTCCTTATCTCATCAGGACAGGTGCCAGAACAGAGAAGACTCACTCTGTGAGGAGGATGGAGTGGGGAAAGTATTACTTTATGCTTGTTCTGTGCTTTCCTGAAGCTTTTCTGGCCGCTGCCAGAGACAGGAGCCCGGGCTTGTTCAACCTTTCATCTGGGCTGGCACAGCAAGTCCAATGTTCCCTTTTCTGCTGGCATGAAAGAAGGAAAAAAGCCCCAAATTGTACTCTTCTCAGTCACAGGCACTAAAATCCCCAGTCGTCAGCGAGAGCTAATATCAATACCAGGAAAGGCTGAAATGACTGCAGCAAAGAATATTTGTAAAGGTCTATTTGAGGCACATCCTGCATTCCTTAAGTGTCAGCGAGAGCGGCAGTGACTAGCAGGGGCAGGATGAGTGTGCATCCTGGCTCTCCCCACCGAGACGCTGATGCACACAGTGCTGTGTCTCATGTGGGAGAGCCCTGCCAGCACATCACCTTGTTTTAGGGAAAAGTACTGCAAGTTACTGTGTGTAACAGACAATACAAAGCCATCTATGGCATGAAGCCACTCATGTATCTTTACCCCATCCCTCAATCCCCCAATTTCCTAGTCCTCCCATGTTTACATTTGCAAAAGAAAAAGCCCAGCAGTCAAAAACAGAAGAAAGAGCAGACATTTAATAGCTTGTGTGGAGATGCATGTAGATGAAGATGCATGTTTGCTGTCATAAAACATGTCAGGTATTTTATTTTGAACATAAGAGAAACTCTTCTTCCCTCAGATCCACCAACCATTAAAGCACCCTGAGCAAATGGAAGAGGACTGCATCTGACAGCAGCAAAGAGCCAGCAGTGCTGGGTGTGGAGGGAAAGAATGCCAAAGTGGCACATTTTGCTGTAACAGCAATTCTGAACGTGGGTATTTCTTGCAGGGGTGAAGAAGGATACAGTGGGTATGCAAAGCCAGGTTGTGTAAAGAACTGCTGAACAACCCAAACCAGACAGGCTCTGAGAGAACAAGAATCATTACAGAGCTTGAAAATGCTCAGTCATGGGTGTGTTAAGAACACGCAGCCTGAGCTGGACCAGTCTGAGCATGCATAGAAAAGAGGAAGCAGCAAGACAGTAAAAAACTGATGGGGTCAAATGGTAAAGGATGCTACACACTGCCTTTTATGCTGTCCCCAGAAGTTTTAGGGAGAGTTGTCCTTACTGGGCCTTCTAGATACTGAGGTAGCTTACATTTCCCTGTGATGACTTCTTAGTCATCATCCCCTTGATTAAAACTATTGTTTTAACCACAAGAGCTGGGCTTTGACATGGGCAGCTAGAGAAGTCATTCTCTTGACTTCTGTCCTTAAGACCTCGGCTGAGATAGGCTACCAGCCTCCCAGGCAGGTCTCCACAGAACAGGCTATTGACAGATCACTCTACTCGTGCTCAGGGCATTGATGTGAACTACGACTGGGTTACAGGCAGGCACTGTGAAGAGGAGTTACCCCCAAACTTCCACCTGCCCTTGTCACAAGTCCTTGGTTTGAGCAATGGGAACACCAACAACTGCAAAAGTGACAGGAAAACATTATGAGAAACTTAACAACTTCCCTTAGTCTGTAAGAGCTTGACAATCTCCTCTGACAACACAAGCATTAATCACGAAGGTAGTTGAGTGCATCAGGGATAAAATTTAATTTCACGAAATAAAGAACTGCTGGGAAGAGAGTAATTCTTTTCACATTTATTTAATAGTGCTAGCAATTCATTTCTCCAAGAGAGCTTTGTCAAATCCCAGAACAATTACAACAGGCTACTATATAAACGTAGTAACAAGCAACAGAGCTTAATACGAATATAAATCTGAAGAGACACTCACGTACTTATCCATAAACAACACACTGTTCCTGTGGCCTCCTTACAAAACCATACACATCCTGTGAATTTCAATAGCAGACCCCGGAGACTGACTTGATCTGTCAGTTCTCCTTTACTTCCAGGCTTTCAAGATCTGTTTTTAAATCAATCACAGTGATTTGGAAGGATGTTTTAAAGCTCACGACAAAGGGTGAGACCTACTGCCCTGCAGGACAGATGCAGCAAGAAAATTGGACCTGTGAGGCCATGCTTGCCTTTCTGCTTGGAGCAGTGAGGGCTCTTCACCACCAGTGAAGCCTCAGACACATTTCAGGCTTGCCAGCTGGGATGCCAACAGCAGTGCTCGGTTCTGTGATGTGGTTATTTAGCAACTGAAGTCTGAGCAAGGATCACCTATTTACTACAGAACACTTGTAATCAAAAGAAAGCAATTGATTTTGTTAACTACTAAGCTAGGCTGCACATAAGCTACTGGCCCAGGAGCCTAAAGTGCTCATTTTAGAGTCACGTCCTGCAACCACACGCTATTTTCCAGCCACTAGCCTAGTTTATTTTTCACACGTCTTTTCAAAGAAAACATCTTTTCCCCCACCATACAGCACAAACACACACTTGCTCACATCAGTGCTACCAACTGCCTGTCCTACATTGAGCAAAAGTCCATTGGAAGAGAATACATTTTATTGCAGGGCTTTTTTTGTAAGCAAGAAGCCAGCTGTAAACATGCTTTTTCTGTTCTTTGTGCTAGACATGGTTAAAAAAAAACATACTTAAGTATTTGTTGTAACAATTTCTACCCTGGAATCTTCTTGTGCCTTTGGGACCTTTCTCTATGAAAAGAATTAATGCCTACACAGCACTGTAGGGCAAGTGCACAGCTGTCCTAGGACCAACCAATTACTGTATGTAATCACAGTCCCCTTCTAGCACTACAGACAGCATTGGGAGCGAGAGAAACCTGATCAGTGGTTTCTTACCTCCCAGCAGGATCACAGCCTTGAATCAGTACAGGTGTGGCGTGTGCGTGCTTTTTTGGATTTATATATGAAGTTGTATTCTACAATGAAAAAAAAACAATATTTGGGAAACAGATGTTCCTAGTGTAACGCTATAACCGGATGGAAAGTACTGTGATAATAGCAGGGATGCAAAGACTGGCTGCAGCAAATGAGAATGAGCCCAAACGTAACAGCCACAGATAGAGAATGGAAAGAAAAGAGCTTACCTTCAAAAGGCCTTAGGCAAGCAGAAACCTCCAACAAGAGATACCCTCACCTCCCCAACCTTTAAATGAGGACTGGGAAGGAGGGGCTCCACCCCTCACAGTCACTCAGATGCATTGCATGCACCTGAACTCCTGGAGTTGGCCCTGCCTTCTCACCAGGTGCTCCATCACTGCTTCAGGCCGTGACTGAGCATTTCCACTATGCCTGGTTTGCTGTGATGGTTTCTGAGTCCAAGCACAGTCTGAGTGTGTCCCTCCCACCCCATCAGCAGATGCCTTGGCTGTCCCAGCCCTGCACCACAGTGTCACAGCAGGTTTAAAAAAATGCTGGTTTAAAAATTTTTTTTACAGAGACTCAGATTTTACTCTCAGAAGCTTTAGTTCAAAGGGCTTTGTTTTCCTACAGCCAAGTCGTGAATGCAGTCCTTAATTTCCTCTCCTCTGAGAAGAAGCTGTGCTTGCAGCAGAGATGGGCAGGACAGCCCTTCCTGCAGAGCAAAGAGCCATGGTCTGCAGCACAGCATGGGCTGGAGATGGAGGCATCTGTAGGACTTTATGGGGAATGGCTGGGCCTTGTTTCCTTAGACTGTACTGTGCTCCATTCCATAAGCAGCCAGATCCATCCTATTTAAACATAGGCTCTTGAAAAACGAGATATAGCACATAATCACAGCAAATTTAACATAATAAGAGCCCCTAGTCAAATATAAAACAAACCCTTGCCTTCCTATTGCCGATGCAAAGCGAGGGAGGAATCCAGTCAGATTTATAGCACCGCTTCCGTGCTACAAAAATAGCTACATCGAGCATTCTAAAAATAAGCCAGATAAATATTTAAGGCCCACTGCTAGTCAACGGAAACCCAGTGCTGAAGGCACTCAGCAGGAATAGCATGGACAGGATGGGTGAGCTTCCACCGAAGGCACTGCTGGAGCTGGAACTGAGACACGGTCACCTTCCCACACTCGTTGCCATTGGTCCTCAGGATCCTAGGAGGTTGCTGCTGCCCAGGGTAGGGTATGAGCACCGTACCCCAGCAGGGCAGGGCCCCCCCATTTCACCACGTGCATCAAACATAGCCTCCATCACACTAAAAGCACCAACACTTCTCTTTGTAGATCATTTTTCTCACCGAAAAACAACGCGGTATTTTGCCCGTGAAATATTTCAAACTAATGCGCTCCTGAAAAACAGCTGGAGATGAACAAAATAGTCTCAAATGGCTTTTCTGTCTAATTTTAACTCTAAGAGACCATTTACATCAAATAGAAAGACAACATAATGTACCTGATAATAAATTGCATTGTTTGTGAGGGTACTTATGGAACAGGAATTATTTGCTTTGCCGGCGTAAACATTCAACAGAACCCGCCAAAACATGTGCAACTATTTAAGAGGGAACACGGCGGTTCTTCATCCTCAGGAACGGAAGGCAAAAGAAAAGCGCTTCACCACGGAAAGGCGCCGCTTTGTTCTGACCGCACAAGGGCTGCCCGTTGTGCTATTTTTCCCTTCTTTTCCAGGAAACCAAGTATTCAGCACCCGGATCGCGGAGCTCCGGCACTCGGTCCCGCTTCCTTTGACGCTCACCTCCTACGACTGACACAACCCAGCGCGCACACAGCAGCTCCGAGGTGCAGCACTGCCCTCCCTTACCCTGCAGCCTCACCGGCCGCGGGCAGGAGGGCAACGCCCGCATCCCTGCCAGCACAGCTACCCTCTGCTGACGGCAGGAGGAAGAAAAACACACGCACACCATGAAAAGAAGAGTCCTGAGTCACTCGGAGCACACGCTGAGATGGCGGTGGCGCTCCTGGGAGCTGAGCTTTAGTTAAAAGGAGCCGCGGGCGGGCGGTGAGCATCACCCGGCGGGGTGCAGCGCCCAGCACACAGGTGCTGCCGCGCTCCCAGCGCCGGGCGAGCTGGTGAGGCTCTGCCGGCACGGACGGGCTCCTGGCTGCCGCTGGGACGCGGCCGCAGCCTCAGCAGCGGCTCTGCGAGGATGTGGAGGCGCGGAGAGGCTCGGCGCTGCACCCGGCAGCACGCCCTGCCTGTGGGAGCTCTACGAGGGAGCGGCAGCGCCTCGCAGGGCCCAACGCACGTGGCCCAGCCGGGAAGCAAACAAAACGCAGCGTAATGAAGCGCAGTTCATGGCAGGAGGGTAAAGAGCCCTTTATGAAGGCATCCGTGCGGCGGGGTGCTGCTCCCCGCGGAGCTCAGGCCGCACCCCACTGACCGCCGCCTCCCCCCGCACACACCAACCGGGCCAAAGCGGCACGAGAGCGGACGCGGCCCAGCACGCAACCATCCCCGCAACACGCCCGCCCTCGTGGCCGTGGCCGCCCCCGCCGGCACCGGCCCGCCCTCGCCGCCCTCTCGCCGGGCCGTTGGAGGCGGAGCCGGAGCCACCGCATGGGCCCGCGGCGGCCGCCCTGGGCCCGTCCGGGGCTGGGGTTGAGGCTGCTCCTGCTGGCGCTGGCCGGGGCGGTGCCGGCCGCAGGTACGGGCCTTCCCTTTCTGCCGGGAGGGTCGGGCGGGGCCGGGGGGTGAGGTTGCGGCCGGGGCCGCCTCCGGGAAGCGGCGCCCGGAATGGTTTTACTCCTCGCGCGCCTCCCCGGGCAGGGCCTGCTGGGCCGGGCCGGGCGGGGCTGAGCTGAGCGCACCTCGGGCTGCGGCCTAGGGGCTGCGGGCGGAGAACGGCGCTGCGGCTCGGGCTGCTGGGAAGCTCGGTGCGGGACGGCTGAACGCAGAGCCGCTCTGTGGCTGCAGGAGCCGGAATCGCGGCAGTGCAGAGGTCAGGAGGGAGCTCTGGGATCACCCCATCCTTCCCCCTTCCCCCAGCTCGCACAGATGGGCGTCCGGGAGATCCTGAGTACGTCCAGAGAAGGGACCCTACAGCCTCCGGGCAGCCTGTTGCTGAGCTCTGCCACTGACAACAAAGATCCCCTTTGTGTTCGTATGGAACTTCCCACATTCCAGTCTGTTCCCGTTAGCCCTTGTTCTATTGCTGCACGCCACCAAAAAGAGCCCAGCCCCATCCACCTGACTTCTGCGCCTCAGATATTTATGAGCAGTTAGGGCCACCCCCAGCCTTCTCTTCTCCAGGCCAAACAGCCTCAGGTCTTTCAGCCTTTCCTTGTATGGGAGGTGCTCCAGGCCCCTGCTCACCTTTGTGACCCTCAGCTGGACTCTCTAGGAGATGCCTGCCTTTTTTGAACTGGATGTGGTGATGTACACTGGCCTCACGTAGAGTAGAGTAGAGGGAGAGACAACCTCCCTGACTTGTTGGCCCCAGAACCGTGATTCAGGTCTGCAGGAGCCATGTGTAACCCCCAGAGTTGTTTCACCTCTCACATGGAAGCTCCCAGGACTTATCCTGCCTCCTTTCAGCCCTGTGCATCTCAGTGCCTGAGGAGAGCGGCACTCAGCCCATCTGAAGTACTGCACTTCCTGCTGTGGGATTTGGGATGACGAGCAGTTGTTCAAAACTTCACAATAAAAATGCCCACACTGAAAGCTGAAACCAATATACTTCAGCAGGATCGTCTGTAGACACATTCTAATTCTAGGATGGCTTTAATAAACTTAGATAAGAACATGCATGCAAGTATTTTTAATTGGTTTAATTAAATTGTTAAGAAAACAATTTAGGCTGGGCTTAGCTCTGTACAGAGCTGGGGCAGGCCTGTACCTGCCAGCAGTATTCTGTCCAGACTGAGTTTGCACTGGTGGTTTGCTCTGGCCAAGTGCTTACTTGGCGGTTGAGAGATTAGGAGACTGTTTCAGCAGTTACTGCTGAGCTTGGCTTGGCCCTACGTTTTCTATTCAGAGAGCCAGATGACTCCCTCTGTTCTGATCTGCATTCATTTCATTTATTCTGCTCTTTAATTACGTTCCTGGAGCGCTGCAGTAAGGCGCTGTAGGGCAGATGTTGGTGCACAGACAGGATTTCATGCCATTCTGGAAAGCCTGCTCCATGGATGAGTCAGGGGCCTTTCTCCCAAAAGGCACAGGGGGTCACTTACGTTTCAGGAGAGCTGCACTCTCCCTGTCTCCAGACCGCTGGGAGCTGTCAGCACAGTTACCATACTGACACGCGGCTGGACCACATCAGGGGAGCACAGTTGAAGGTAGAAATGAGGAAGAGTTCCATGCTTTACCGTGAGAACCGTGTTGGAAGAGAACAAGTGCTCTGCCTGCAGTGAGCGCAGTGTCACGTGTTGGGTGACTGCAGGACGTGAGCCTGTTCACCTGCTGGTGCTCCCACAGTTACATGCAGCATTGGTAAAGAAAGCCTCAATGACAGTGGGGCTACACCCACATGCACCAGCAGGGAATTTGGCCCAGAGGCCTGGTCCTGCGCCACGAAAACACGGGCAGAGATGCCAAGCTTTCACTGATTGCATTTGTAAAAAACCTCACCATGCATTATTTTTTTTTTTCCCCCAAGGTGTTGCAGTTTAGTTAGAGCCTAAATTAGTTGATTAGATGTGTCATTTGAATTCTCGTCTAAATCATGCCGAACGTGCTACCCTGCAGCCTAGTCTTTATGTTCTATTATCTGCAAATTGCTTGTGATTTATTAAAAAAAAAAAAAAGAATATTACATATTTATATTTTGTACACATTTAAAGTGAACTTTCCCTCATCAGGTGGAAGCTGTAGCTTTCTGGAAGAGGGGAATGCCATCCAGAAACTGCAAGAAGACTGCTTTTGTTACGTGCAAAACAGAATCATGCACTTACAGTACATTTGGTCAACTTTGCAGGTAAGAGCTCCTTTTGAGGATCATCCACATGTTCCATATGCAGCCCGTGGCCTTTTCTCAGCTATGTACATGACCAGTTATCAAGATCAAAGCAGCACCTCAGAGCACCATAAAAGTACAGCACTGCGATCCTTCACCCCAAACACACCCAAACTGCTTTCCCCTTATTAGGAGGATGTCAGGCAGACTTACAGTGTCACAGGGGGATGCCAAACAAACATTAACTCCCTTATTTTGATGCACATCTTTCATACTAATGGACCGTTGTTAACCTCAACAAGGATTTTTGCACCTCCAAACATCTTTACACAACTTCTAAATTTAAAGATAAAATACATTGCTGTGAACCATGTATTGTAGCATCCCTCTTCTGTCCATAACATAAAAATTGCATTATTATCTACAAGAAGAGTAAAGCCAACTGCTTACAGCTCCAGAGGGGAATGAGGAAGGGTATGAACAAAAGGTGTGTCAGGTTGTTACTCTGAAAGTTAGACAAAGTAGACAAATTCTGGCTGTTTTTTCATTTGGCTCGGAGGATCACCTTAAAAGAAACGTGCTTAGTAACAGCAGAACAATATAAAAATCTCATGCCACTAGAGACAATAACAGGGTAAGGAAGTAGAGGAGTATGTTTGGTTCTGTTCTTCCTGGGCAGCTGTACTGGACAACGGAAGGGAGCAATTTTGCTGTGTTTGCTGGAGAAGCTGGCTCTCAGACCTGGAGGTGGAACATGTCTTGTTCTGTTCTTTACCCCTCTGTCCCTCATACACACATTGCATTGTTATCTACAAGAAAAGCAGTACAGGTTGTTAGGTTAAGGAGGGGAATGTGAAAGAGAATAAACATTTACAGAAGAAACCATGGTCTGTCAGACACTGGGTTTTGTTAGAACTGTGTGCATGGGCGAGTGTGGTGGAACCAAACCCCCAGAGCCTGCGTGTGGAGGCAGGGCTTTGGATACAACTGTGCTGACACCGAGTTCTCTGAGTCACGCCGTAAGGCCCAAACAATATTTGCACAGTACTAATAACCAATATTAAACAACTAAAAATTGTAGTGACATTACTTTCTGTGCTGATCTTCATTCGCATATGCACGGTGTACATGCTGTGCATCTCACAAAACAAATACCACAGTGATTCTGAGCTACAACTCTGTCTTATTGTTTGATTTAGGTAAAAATAAACAGCACAAAAACATTCAGGTTTGTGCCTACTCCAGAAAAAAGCAACTGTCAGAATTCAGAAACTGTGTTCGAGTTTGCTGCCTGTGCTGTTCAAATATTCTGGCAACCAGAGACATCTACAGAAACTCTCTTAAAGGTAAAGCAATATGGAGAGGACTTCTGCTTCAGAATACAGCCCTTCCAGGAAGAACTGTACACTGTGAGCATAACACGAGAAAGTAAGTAAAACAGCTTCCTGTTTACATTACAGATAGATTGGTATTGCCAGCATTACTGCCTGTACCATCCCTTCTGTAAGAGGCCTGAAGCTTGTCTGCTGATATTGAATATAATCAGTGTTTCAGAATGAGTTAGTCTAAAGCCCCTTTCTGTTTGTTTTCTTTTTCCCCTTTTTAGTGCTAGATGGAAAGCTCTTGTTTTTGTTTGTAGCTGGAATTTTTCTGTTCCATTTTGCAAACAGTCTGAGCAGGTGAGTACTGGCTGCTGCGCTTTCATGTTTCTTTCCCAGAGTCTGTGCAGCTTTGGTCTGTTCTCAGAGCTGAAGGCACAGGTCTCTGGGAAAGTGAAATAAGGAAATGAATGTATATCTAAACATATATTAAATATATGAATATCTATGACGGATATTTGTAGCATTTCTGTGGGGACAGACTGATTTACCTGGGAGCTTCTGCCATAAAACTGCATTAGGGTTCTATGTATTGTAACATCCTGCGCTGGGTGACACCAAGCCAGTCCTCAGAGAGCAAGAGTGTGGATTCAGGAAAATCCTCTCCTTTCTGTAGGCCACTGAGGTTAGCAGCAGCTGAGGGATGCTGCACAGCTTATAACTGGTGCCTTGCTGCAGGCAGAACGCTTGGGGTGAGGTCCTCTAGGGCCTGGCCTGCCTCCGCCTTCGTGCCAGCCTTTCCTCACCATTCTTTTGATGCACCCTTGCGTAGCCCGTAAGGGAGGATTCTTACTGGCATAGCAAATCACCTGAACCATGACTTCAAAATGAATCACAAAGTAATTGGCAGGAGAGACCTTTAGAACAAGCAGAGCAGCAGCAGTTTTCAGATTTAACCAAATCATATTTTTAAGTCAGATTTTTATCAATATGTCAACTTAGAAAAACTTGCTTTTTTCCCCACTTTTAAATATATAAGCCTATTCTTGCAGCACTGAAGCATACAGAACCACGGTGTTCATAAGAAAATGATGTGACAAAAGCCTATCATAGAATCCTCAGAATTGAAAGGGACTCTTAAAGGCCATCTAGTCCATCACCCCTGCAATGGACAGGGACACCTACACTAGATCAGAGTGCTCAGAGCCCCATCCAGCCTGATCTTGAATGTCTCCATGGATGGGGCATTCCCTACCTCTCTGGGCAGTCTGTTCCAATAAACAGTCTGGTAACAGTTTCAGTGATTTTATAGTAGTAATTGGATTTTTTCCTTTTTTTTTTTTTTTTTTTTAACATGAATTTAAAATCTAAACCAAACCTATTACCTGTATAACTGACTTATAGTTGTGTTCTTACTGAAGATTGCTTCTGTCTTTACAAATGTTGGCATTTTTAACCACTCACTACTTGGAAAATACTTCTTACAACATTCTCTCTTGTTTTCTTCCAGGAGCACCAACTTCTTTTACCTGTCTGGAATAATACTGGGCATTCTTGCTCTGTTAATTTTTGTCCTGCTGGCACTTAAAAGATTTATTCCAAGGGTAAATCTACATTTGTAAAACAAAGTAATAATTATTATCATTATAATAATAGAGGAAGTGAGGAGTCCAAGGCCAGATTCTGACGTTGCTCTGTCTGGGGAACTCCACTGAAATGGGTGTGGGAGTCAAGTAAATATAATTAGGTCAGAATCAAGTTCTAATTAGCTTGCTGCCGAGTGGAAGGAGAGTGTTGGTGCAAGTTTATTGGACTGGAGCTAAGCTTGCTTTTGAGTATATGAATCAATCTAAATCAAAATGTAATCTTAGTGGCAGTTGGGACAGATTTTCTTCCATTCAGCAGGGAATTAATTGTAAGGAGATCTGAATTTTTCTTTCACCAAATCTTGATCTCTGTGCATTGTTCCGGTATTGCTGAGTTACGTTAATTGAAAATACAGTTCAGGAAACTTAGGTCATGACACTGAGATACAGCAAAGACAAGAGGTGCAGCTGCTCTGCTCAAACTTGATGCTGTGTACTTGCAGCAGAGCACCGTGTAGTTCAAGTCACACAGAGCAGAAGCCTGCAGGTCTGCCAGAACCACATTTGTTTTTGCCTGTGAATTCCTGTGCACGCCACGGTCCTGAGTCTGACTGAGACTCCTAGACTTTTTTTCCCGTTTTTATTTTGTCAATTTCCAGCGCAGCACCTTCTGGATACTATTGAGTGGCTGCTGGATGTCCTCTCTCTATCTTATCTACTGTTTCAAAGAGAATATGCGGTGGTTGTGGTCTGAACACAGGATCTACTTGTTGGGTAAGAATGTCAAACTGAAATCTGCAGTGCGCTTTTGGATAATTTGGTGGTTAGATGAACACCTGCCCATTAAGATAAAAGAAAAGTTACTGCAACTCATTTATGGATTATTTTTTTTCTCCCGAGCCAGAAATGCTCTAATATTCCAAAAGTTTCTAATTCACTCACTAAGTATTTACTCACATTATATCATTAAATGAAGAGTTTGATCTAGTGGGCCAGGAGCAGCTGAAACAGCAGACTTTGCATTAAGTTGTCATTGATTTGCCATAGCGTGCTCTCCCTATGACAGCAAAAGGGCAGCTACGATGACTTACATTTTGCTGAATATGGGAACTGGAAGCACAAACTGCAAACTGCTTGGCAAATCTATTGCTCTGGCACCTGCCTCAGCTTTCTTACGTGGAAGAGAGCTCATGTGCAGCTCTTTCAGCATTACCCGTAAGCCTCTAGAATGCACAGCTCGTACAACATAATGCAGGTAACTACAAGCACAAAACCAGCACGCTGTGCTACTCAGCATTTGCAAGCTTAGTCAACCAGCTAGTAAAGTTCAGAAGGGTAGTTTCCATCTGTTCCTCCATGACATTGTTTCGTGTTTCCACAGGGTACTTTGTGGCTGTTGGAACTATCAGTTTTGCCACTTGCTATCAGCACGGACCGCTTACCAGTGAACTGAGTATAACCTTGTTCACGTGGACACTGCAGTTAACAGCCTTTGTTTTCATTTACTGTGGTGTCACCATACCTCAAGTTGCATATGCAGTAATAGCAGCCATGCTGTGCTCCAAAGGCCTGGGTTATCCCCTTGGTGCTGCCTGGCACATAGGCAGGTGCGTATGTATTTATGAATGTCCCATGTCCCTTTATGGCCAGGAAACTTTACTGCTAATAATGAAAAAAAGCCTTACACTTCCTTACACTTGGATAATTGGTAAATTTCTATTGCCTTTTTTTTTTTTTTTAAGCAAATGTAAAGCTGCAGTGGAAGAAGTCTAAATCCCCAAGAAAGACATGTAATTACTTTCTGTTTGGCAGTTACAAATACAAATTGTGTTCTATGGGAAATGGAGAAATATGACTGCGCTCTTAAGTACAAAAGTAGCACCTTCTAGTCTGCAGCATATGGCAACCAAAACATTTCTGTTTGCTTGATCAGACTGCAGCAATAGTGCTTTGGTTTCACACAGTGCAAGAAAACCTGCAGGTACTGAATCGTACAGGATGGAAGTGCATGTTAGAAACGGACAGTCCTTCATAAGTTAGATAGCTTTCAATATTAGTGTTCAGAGACTAAAAAGCTGTTTCCACCAAAACAGTGGTTCCCATTGATTTTAGTTCTCCAGGGATATCATCACAGATACGTGTGTCTATCCTTAGTACGTGGAAACAGTCAGTTGTCACTGTGGAGACATTCCTCCCTGTATTCCCCCCTGTATTCCCTGTATGTGCTCCACTTACGTTGTGGCATTTGAAGTTGGAACTGCTTTCGGGATGTAGATCTTAGTTTGCTAAGTACTTCTGTTAGCAATATGGGAACAACATGTTTGCTCATCCTTGAATTTAAAGCATGTTTTATCACAGATGTAACACTCAAATGAAGATTCTAAAAAGCCCTCACAGTTTACAGCTGCTTGTTACCTCCAGTGATGACACTCTAAGTGCAGACTGTTCCACAGCTGTAGACTTCTGCTGAACCTCTTAAGAACCACGAGCAGGCAAAGGTTAGAACCAAGATAACTAAAAGAGTAAGAAACAGTTTATCTTTTAGTCTCACGCCATGCTTAGTGTTTGAAGAACATACCGCTTTGCTCCTCTGCTCTTTTCAGATGGTGCAGCATGGTCCGTGCTGAAGTATTATTTATTTTAGTTGGAATTTTTCATTTATCAAGAGCCGATTTTGCCAGCAGCTGAGAAGCAGTGTTTCAGCAGCAACGCACTGTCAATACTGTCCTAATGTAAGCAGGTTCCATTTGCTCTGAAATCAGTAAGACATGACTAGGAGCTCACAGAAGTCACAACAAACCTGTTTTACCATTAAACACTGTGGATTTTCTCAGGGTAGAATCCCTTCTCATTTTCAATGAATTGATGCTTCCATAGAGCATACCGAAATATGGCACTACAAATCTTCCTTAAGAGAATAAAAAAGCTTTTCTTTCCTCTCTTGAAACACTAAATGGTAGCACCAAGCAGTGAGGCCATGATGCCTGATACACAGCTCAGAGCAACAGATGTATCAAAACTGTTAAGAATCTAGCTTTAATTATTAAGATTAGCACTGATTCCACTAAGCCAGCAAGACCTTTGGCACTTGACCTGACCAAGGGCTGCAGTTCATTCTTTCTTTGTGGAGAAATAAGGAGGAAAGCTGAGTGCTGCTGGTTGGAGCAGGTGTTTTTATACAGAGCTGAAAGTTTTATGGGCATCCAGCCCTTGCTTATCTTAACTCATGACAACATTTAAATGGAAAGCAGTCGACAGAAGGGAACAGAACATGGCACGCTTTCTAATTGATACCTAATTATATTATACGTCGCTACGCAGCAGCTAAAAAAACATCAGATTGTAAACATTTTGGCCTCAGACTACTCAGTTTTGTAATTTGAAGCAAGATTTAAGCTATCTAGTAAACAACATGAACAACTTGTAAGAGCATTGCTTATCTTTAAATTTAAAATATGCACGCTGGGTTTTGATTCAGCCCGTGTTTCTGTAGAGACTCATTTTGCATGCTGCACCTAAAAATGGCTGAGCAAGTAGACATCTCTTCTGAGATTTTAGTCTATGCGTATACAGTAAGGAAGCCTCATTCTGTGGAATGCTGGATGAGACCTAGAGTAAGCAGCCTTGCAAACACAAAGCATCCTGAAACGTTAACACAAGCTTGTAGCTTTTCTTCATAGGATAAACGTGATTGAAGCACGTTCATAGCAGATAGTAGAGAAAACGGATGGGCTATCATTATATGCCAGAAGACTTCAGAAATACTAACTGCTATTTCATTTCATTTTAGAAAAATGAAGAATCACTTTCAATCAAAAAAGTTAGTGGTCAGATGCCTTACTGAAGAAGAATATCGAGAACAAGGTGAAACAGAAACTGTCAGAGCTCTGGAGGAGCTGCGCTCGTTCTGCAAGAACCCTGACTTCTCATCATGGTTGGCAGTATCCAAACTCCAGTCCCCACACAGGTAAGAAGATGTGGCTTTTCTAAGAGAGGAAACACTTGGTTAGACAGCAAACTCGCATACTAATTCAGGCACTATTCCAGGTGAATTTATGTCTTGCATGCAGTAAAACATGGGGCTAGTTTTATCTACCTGAACAGTGCTACTAAAGATTGCAGCCACATCTCTAAAGGATACCACTTGCTTGTGGTATTAAACCCTGTTTGATCCTCTCTGACCATAAATAACTCTGGGAGCTTGCAGAGGGACACAGCTAATTCATGGTAGTGGCAGCTTTCTCTGAAAGGTACAGGCTTCCTACAGTGCCTAAGCAAGTTCCGACATGGTGACCCAGGTCACCATCTAACCACTGACTTGCCCCTTTCTTCAACTTTTACAGCACTACACTTCTACACTGAGCAAAATCAGGGCAGTCTGAAGATACATGCTCAGGCATTTGCTGCGTTAAGCTCTTCGACTGCCAGTCTGCACAGCCAAGCAAACCTTTTACTTGAAGTATCAACCAGTACTTAAGACTGCGAAATACCAGGGTCTGCACCCAAACAGGATGGCAGGTAGAAGAGCTACTCCAGATAGAGCTTCAGCGACAAATGTAAGACAAATACAGGTTGTGAAGGAGTCAGATTAATGTAGCCAGGAAATCTTGCAGAATATAAAATTAACCATAATCTCAGTACATTTCCTTCAAAGTCAAAACCTGAAGATACCAGGAGCACAGTTTCACATCTCAGCCAGCCACAAAGACTTGGCTTCTAACACAGAACCAAACGTCACGACTTCAAAGTAGCCCCAGTCAGCTTGGAATTGGATCAATAAAAACTAATTTTAGAAACTGCATCTTCTTTGGACAGGCACACAATCTCTCTGTCAGGTTTTAGAGATTAACTGTTGAACTGATGTTTGCTAAGATACTTGCCTTCTGTAGCATGATTAAAAGATACGAAAAGTGAAAATTCACTGCAGTACTGTTAACAAAAAAACCACACAGAGCAAGTAACTTAGACACACTCTTTTTATAGTCATTACTTAGTTAATATTCTTCTAAGTTGTTCCTATAAAAATACAAAAATTTAAAGAACCAGAAGTCTGATTTTACATTTAATATCCCTTTAAACTTCCTATGGAAGATAAGTTTAGCACATAGGCAAACCTATGAAACAGATCCAGCCCCACCCTGTTCTCCATATAGACTTACAGCGCTTCCAAGAAGAACGAGGTGACACCATTCATCTTGCAGAAATGTTCAAGTCTAAAATGCAAATTATTGATCAGTTTACCAGAACTGATGCAGAATGTAGCTGCAGTTCCTTTTTCTTACATTTCTCTGATGCTGTCGACACTTACCCAGGTGTCAGAACTGCCGTCTGTTCCCATGAGCTTGCCAGAAACCTCCAGTTCCATTCTGCATCTTCAGTATAGTTGTCCACTGCAAGTAAGATTTGCGGTGAACTGAAATGTAGGAAGTGATAAGTTGGTGCTTTGTTCAGCTAAACCTCCTGTTTGGAGTTCACCTGGAGCAGATGCAGTTTTCCCAGTCTGCAACTCAGTTAACCAAAAGCAGGAGTTCTTTCAGGGCTTCAGTTCAGCTTGCCTGGAGCATGCGTGCAGCACCAGGAGTAAGGTGATAGCACAGGAATGTGGGAGTGCTAAGTTCTCACCATTTCCCCATCATTAGCAGTATCAACTCACCTGAAATTCTTACAGACTTTGTCCCCAGTACTCTACAGCTTTTAATTAAGAAATTCAAACACAATCTATTCAGTGATAGAGGCGCTTTACTCTGGATTACCCCACAAGCAATGAAGAAAAAAAATGAAGTCGGATCTTGCTTAATCACAAGACTCTGCAGATGGCCTCCAGAAAGAACAAGAGTTACTTGTGTAGGAAGGACTGAAGACAGAAAGGAAGATGAGGCAGGGGAGCAAATCTTCAGGGGTGTCATCATCCTTTTGTCACTCTTCACTCTCTATTTTACACGACACTGTAGCTCATTCTACAGCTTCAGGGGTGACCTGCACTGTCTCTAGACACACCCTCACATCAGCCCTGCTTAATTGCCTGCTTCCCCCCATATCTGCAGCGTTTTTTCCATTTCCAAACTGATCATTTCTCCCTTTCAAACTTTGGCAGGTTTGCAGGTTTTGTTTTGGGATCTCCCCACGTCTCACCTGCAGAAACAAAGGCACACGATGAGGAATACGGCATTGGGAGCTCCTTCCTGGAAGAGCAGCTCTTTGAGACGAGGACAGAGTCTGACCAAGATGAGACAACCAGCTACATCCACGAAGAAGACCATGAGAATGAAGATGAAATACATGAACAGATTTCATTTCCATATGCTACTGAGCTGCTCTGAGCTTTGGAAATTACCCTAAAAAAGGGAGAGAGGGGAAAACACATTCATCCTGCAAAGGAAGGTTTGCAGACCAAGAACTCACTTCTGGTGATTTCTTGTGGATGCTTGGGGACAAACAAGTATTTTTCAAAAACAGTTTCCTGCATCACTGATATTGCACAATTAGAGCAACAGAAAGAAACCACAGGGACTGCTCAAGCGAAGAGGATGTCACACTATCAGTGCTTGAACTGGGAAGCGTTGCTTATTTCCAAAGCAGGTACAGACAGCAGCCTGTCCCACCACAATGCCTTCCTTTGCCAAGGATACTACCTCTAAACGACAGAGCATCTAGGCCCTGCTCATTGTCAAGTCCTCTGTGCTGAGCACTAGAGGGAGAGGAAGCCATTATTAGAGCTCTATTTTCATGAAGTACCCTAAATATTAGCAAATTTAATAATGTTCTTAGTTTGCTGATAATCACTTTACTGCTCATCTGACTTTTCAGTGATAGAGATCCACAGGTTTAACACAGCTGAGTGACATTTGTTTGCTCTTCTGGCTCAGCTTGCTATCTGCTAGCTTCACTTTAACCTCCCCCTTTTGTTCTAAGCTCCTCTTACTTTTTAAACTCCTGCCTCATTTTTCACCCATCTGCTTTTAATTGTTGTATTCCTGGACTCTGCACTGTGGTCCTGCTGTACCTTGTTCTTTACACGTCTTCGTTTCCTCGCACACTCTTCTTCCCCATTCCACAGGCCTTTCCTTCTCCATCTTTGACAACTGCAGGTGGTCCCCCTGGTTCATCCACCTGCAGAGATCATTCTCTTTATTTCTTCAGACTGACCCCTTGTCCTCATTTCACTGTTTTCCTTTGCTGTCTCCAGACTGCAGAGAGCACCAGACCGTTAATTCTCTCATCATCTGCAGAACGTATCAGCGGTTGAAGGGCTGCCTTCTTAATGTGCCCAGAGATGCAGCAGGACCTCAGCAGTGTGAGTTTCCCTACTGTCTATCTCTGGTCAAGGGAGAAAACATGCTGCCTCTCTAATAGTACTGCATTCTGAGAGCTCCTCTGCATAAAACATGACCCAGTCTCTGTTTGAAAGCATCATTTAGATAGCCCCTCCTTCAGTTGCTCCAAGATTGCTTCATTGTGGAAAGAAGTCTTCCACTGTACAGTCAAGAGACACCTAACTCCTTTTTGTGGCATATATGCATGTTCTGTAGCATGTTTAAGGGAGAGAAACTGTGTCAAGCAGGTGCTTCAAACTACGTTCGCTTGGAAGTCCACAATATTAAAATAAAAATAACTAAATAACAAGAGAACTCTGTTCAGAAAGGCCACAACCATTAAAAACCACCCTAAGAGAGGTTGCTACTACCAAATCCAGTGGAATTAGCAGCCACACTCAGAAGGCAGGATTGCCCAGGTGGGCACTGTCTCTGGTAAGGAGTTATTTTCTGTAAGAAATAACTTTGTCTCTTTTTAGCTGGCCATATCTTCCATCCATATAATTTGAGGCCAAGCAGGAGAATCAGATTCATCCTAGCTTAAACCCATAACTTCTTTGCAATTCCTTCCACTATTGCAGCAGAAATGATCCTCTTGTAAGTATATTGTATGTATACTTCTTACACAGTAGTCAGAAACTACATTAAAATAACCTTTTACTTACATGATAACTAAATGGAAAAGCCCAAACAAAGTGGGCAGTGACATTTGTCAGACACTTTCCCTTTTGCTGAATTGTTAAAGGGCAACACCAGGTACATCCATTCCAAAGGGGGTGGGAAGGAAGCAAACATTTTCTTGTAGTTCCAAAATTCAACATGTGGGTAAATACTATCCAAAGTGGAGCAGGGAACCACTAAGGCCATCCAAAGCAGAAGTGCAGCAGCATACCAGAAAGATGACTGCTTTAGTGCAGCTGATACTGACCTTAAAAATCCTCCCCAGTCTGTTCTAACATGGGAAGCATTTCACAAACAAAGCCTTCCAAAATCAACTGCTGTCCCTCTAGCCCTTTGCCAGCAGTGAGTTTACTTGCTCAGCGGTGCTCTGATGCATGGAGATTACATAGATGAACAGAAACCATACCAGTAAGTGTTATCCAGAGTTCAAATGGAAGATCTGGGAACAGAATCTTGATGTTAATCCACTGCCTTACCTATGATAGAAGCCTACTGTCCTTAACAAAGGATGAGTTATGTTTATCTCCTGTTTCACCATGTTAAGAGTTAAAATGTTGTATTTGTTTTGTATTCGTGGTGCACCATTCTCACCTACTGTCTTTTACTTTCAACATTTTTAAATAAAAGTACTTTTCCAAGACGTGGTTCTCTGCCCTTACGCAGTCACTGTGAAAAGAACAAGACAAGGAGCCAAGTGAAGGCGTGTGTGGATGTCCTCAACTTCCCTCCACCACTGCAGATTTAAGAAACCCCAGCTGGGTGTTTGCTGTGCCTGCTCCACAACAGTCCTCCTTCATGCCCATCCTCCTGGAGGAGTCTGCCATTCCATTTCTCCATTCATGACACATCAGAACCTCAGAGCAAAACTTAGTCCCAAAGATCTCTTTGTCACAGCTTTTGTATGCATACAAATGAAGCAGCTGACACAGTAAAAAACTGAACTTTCCTATGCCTAAATAAAATAGATTCCAGGCAAGGGCACCACCATGCAGAACAGATGTATGACTGCAAATACGTGTAGTTGACCGAAACAGACATGTTTCCATACAACCTGGCACAGCCTGCCCTCAGGAGCCTCTACCTCCAAACTGCTGGGTGACCAGCATAACCAGTTCAGACTTGCACTCCTCAAGTCTTGCCCACTTCCATATCACCCTATTTATGATGCACACCCATGTGCACCCCTTACATTCTCCTCACCCCACTGAAGGAAATTTATGCCTGTAATCTGACTTTATCACAGGAAAGACTGTAGTTCCCAAGTTCCAGGTTTGCTTTCCTCCAAGGAACAAACCTAGAGGAGTTAATTCTCACTGAGTTATCTTCTGTGCTGGTGGTTATGTTCACTGCAGTACCACAACACAAACACACATAACAAAAGTTCCAACTGATGCTATTAAATACATTATGGGTATTTTATATTTCTTACCACAGTTTTTACAGTTTCACAAATATCAAAACCCAGTGTACATGTCCATTTTGCAACACAGAACAACTATACAATTCCAAAAAGAGCAGGCATTTCAAAGAAACAATTCCAAAGTGTAAACACAGTGTACAAGCTCTTCACCTCACAATCCAGGTGCTATGCAGTAGAAGCTGAGGTAACACCGTACAGCATGAACTCAACAAATGGTTGCTTTGTCTCAAGATGGTTTGTAGCATCCTTCTGTCCTGTCGCCTGTTCAGTCCTTTAGTTCTCCCCCAAGTTAAACAAACATACAATAAATACATCTCTGATTTTAAAGGACACTTAGACAAGTCATGAGGATTTACGTGAGTACAGTACATGTAAGTTCAAGTGCAAAAAAAGTAATTAGTGGCTAGTCATCGATGTTCATTTTCTATGGTGTTGGTCCCAAGCAGAACACAGGTTGTTCTAAAAGCACAGCTAAAGCACAGCTACAGGAGACCCCTCAGCTAAGTGGATGTCAAAGCAGATGAAGCTGTGTATGCCCTTTTCCTGCTCAGCTGCTGCCATCCTCCTCTCCCCTAACCCCATGCTGCTTGCCCCTGCATCGCTGCGCAGGCCACACGGTCCAGGAGCACGCACCATCCCTTGGAAGGCTGACACTGACATCTTCACAGAGGGCTGAGCAGTACCTACTCGAGTCCTGCAGAAGCTGAGTGCTCAGAATCTCCCAACAACAAGCTGTGGGTGTAAGCCAAGGGGCCAAAACACTATCCTGACTGAACACCTGGCTCCTCCTCGAGCCCAAGGATCTCCCTTCAGCAGCAGCTTTCACCACGCATCAGCCAGGAAGCTGGCTGTGGCTATTAGTGAACAGTATGACAGAACAATCCAGAGTCTTCCAGTGTCTCAACAATGGGCAAAGTAAATTCCTGCAATTTAGTTACGTACGCTTCGTCCTGAGAATCTCTCTACTTGATTTCTGCATCAACAACTTTGCCCCTGAAATTCTAACCATTATGATTATTAGGTGATTCTCCCCGCCCGTCCCCCCTTCCCCAGGCACTTAAAGCTTGCTGTCTTCTTAATAAATAAGCACAGTAACTACACTTCATTAAATAAACCATTGTACAGATGATGAAATAAATAATAAAAAAGAAAACCAGTGTGCCCACTGAAACCTCAATCAATCTCAGGTTGTGCAATCTTGATCAAAGATGGTTGTTGTCTCAATACAACGTCAAACCGAAAGTTACCCACACACACACACACACACACACACACACACACACACACAGCGCCCAAAAGAAGGGCTGCAAGCACTCTAAAAGCCTTCTTCTAGCTCTTCTGCTTCACTAAAATGCCACTTCAAAATCTCTCCTTTACAGAACTAAACTGTCATGTCAAACAAGATAACATTAGCTTTGAAAAACATATTCTTTGAATATGTTTTATTTATTCCGTCACCATAATATGAAGCTACGCTTGCTCAAAGCTATTCTGTTTCTGAGAAATCTTTACAGTTCTACACTGCTTCTATATGTATTGGATCCAATATCTTTAATACGCTAAGCAGGGAAACCTTGGTTTCTCTCTTAAAAAGTCTTTTCATTTTGATTCATGAAGAAATTGAAAAACAAAAAACAAATAGCTGACCAAGTCAGGCACTCTGGCCTCAGCAAGCGATGAGCAAACTCTCCTTTTTCTACAGATTGCAAAGAAATCTCATAGCACTTGACTAAGCCTTAGCAAAGCAGCCAAGAATTCTTCCTACATTTAGATCCGACCACATCACTTCCCTCCAGCATTCCAATCTTTTGGCTTCCCTGCTCGTGTTGCTCTGTGTAGTCATGTGAATATTGTTTTTTATATAGTTAAAAGCACTTGCACTGCATCACATTATGCTCGTTAAGATGAAGGAAGTCCTACTTTTGAGCTCCTACTCCAGCGTTTCCCAGGTGAGAAGCAGAATTCCATGCACTGGATTTGATAAGACGAGAGCATCTCAGGGCCCCGCGGCGGCAGGCTGAGCATCACGGTCCGATGCCAGGCGGTCACCATCAACTTGGGAATCTGATGGTGCTGTTGGTGTTGAACAATTTCTGGACTGCCCAGAATCTGTCGGTTGCCTTTCCGAGCTGGCCAACGTATTGCAATTCTCATTGATTTTCTAAAGAGAGGGGAAAGCATTGCACGCAGAAAGTGAGTACAGGCACCTGGCACTGCCCCCAGCCAAACCCCCCCAGTGCAATCAGGCACTTTGGGAAACTCACAAAGCGCTCACTTTGAAAGCTCGCAACGTAACAAAGAAAGAAAGAAAGCAAAAGTGGTGCATTTAAATCCAGATGACACTAACAGCAAGCAGACGTTTGCTTACCTTCCATCTCTTTTCCTAACTGCGCTTCCCCAGGAAGCATGCAAAAAACAAACTTGTTGTGTTTCGAGGGAAAAAAAAGCAATTAACTGGATTTCAAAGTTCAGACAAGAGCATTACTATGACGAAACAATCCTGTACATTTTTTCAAGCTCCTTACACATAGCTTGCTTCAATAGTTCCTTCCCTCCCCCATACACCGTGCAGACTCTCTGGATGGCAAAATTTCTACAGTGCTGATGTTACATTCCCATTCAGCCTATTCAAATAGGCCTCGCTGAGGAGCATGAGAGCACATTTAAATACCAGGTACATTCATTCCCTGGGATCTAAACAACTGAATTTGACATTACAAGATGACTCACTATCTATAAATATTTGTTTTGCACTGAAGAATAGAGAACATGGCAACAACACTCCTTTGCCTGGAGGATAGGTGAGCAGTGGCAAAGATAGAACCAAAATCCTAATGAAACAAAGACAAAGGATTTTCACCACTAGCTCCAGTTTCTTTGTGTTAACCTTCTTTCCCAATGACCTATTTGCATGTGCATTTTTAAGGAAGTTATTCACCAAATTTAATAAGAGATTTGGACAGCCTTTTCAATAGTTGCATTGAATTTTGGCACAATCAATAAGAACTATTTTATATCAGCACTATTTTATATCAGTATTTTTACAGGAGGGAAAGAGAAAGAAGAGACCACGCTCTACCAAGCAACTGGTGAGCCTCAGTGGGCACAACAGCACGTGTGGCTGCTTCACACAGCTCAGTGAGGTGGCCAGGTGCATCCAGCAGTGTCAGCCAAGTCTCTCTCAGGCACCACACAAGTGCAAAGCTTCCCCCTGCCATGCCCATTGATGCACCCTCTGCTGCTGTGCTTCTCTGATTGTTATGTGAAGACAGTTTACACCAGGCAAGACCCTTGAGGATGCCTGCCAATGTGAACCAGAGCCTTGTCTGCACAGGTTACTTTCATGTCAGACACCTAGAGTACCTCTGGTGTCCCCATAAAAAAAAAACAAAAAACAAAAAACAAAGAAAACTTCACTCCTTAACCCAAGGAAGTTCAGAAAAGCCCCAAACAACCAACACAAACAAATTAAAGCCAACTCGTCTGTGAATACATTTGCAATAATGAAGACAAGTAAGAAAGGCAGGAGAGAGCTGACCCAGTGAAACTCCTGTACACTCTGCTCTGCTGAGTCACTGTCATGCCTCAAATTGTCCATTTCTGAAGACACAACTGTGGAAAAAGCATTTCTGTGTTTCTTCTCACCAGGTACGTAAGAAGGAACTTCACCCACTCCTTCCCAAGTGGTAAACACAGTGCCTTTCACATTACCCATGCTGTTCTAAAACCTGCACTGACATCTCCCTGCTTTCCTTAAGCAGCATGCTTCAGCTCCATTCCGGACTACACAGTCAAAGCACAAGGTGACAGTTGGAGTTCCTACTCCCTGCTAATGAGACTTTTCAGAACTATTTGAAGTGAGACTGGATGGAAGGGGAATGGTATAAAGAAAGGACTGCCAATCAGAGAGGTTAAGTCCCAGAATGGCTCTCATCTGGTATAACTTCACATAAAAAAGGGATGAACTTTATCTGAACTGAAGGCTCTGCATCCCACCAGTAGTTGTCTGGAACTCCTATTTCCACTACAACATGGAAATCTGGTAGCATCACCCAAGAAATCAGTATAAAGTAGGGTGTTTCTCCTAATTAGTTCTAAGACTTCATGTTTAGTTGTCCCTTTGTAAACTTTGCAAATGCAAAACCTGCACATTCCAGCTAATATGAAAACAAATGTAAACTCACAGGAACTCAAGTATATCTGAGCCTGAGAAATAGTCT